CAGTGGATGATTAACTGAATCAATAATGTAGAATTGCATTTCTTCAGTGTGTAGAACACCAACTTGTAACTGTAGCTTATTCGTGATCATACGGATGCGTCCTTCACCCACAGGACGACCGTCTAGTGCTTCCACTGCAAGACAGGAATCATAGGAGCTGAGAGATAGTTCGTGATTTAAAGCAAATGTCTTAGAGATAAAGTTTCCGGCAGACCCAGAGTCGACAAGAGCCGTGGTATTAATCATTCTTTTATCAAATTTAATAATTACAGGAAACAGTACACTGAAAAATGCTGGAACATGGGAAGGACTCACCGATTGAACTGGTGTATGAGGTCGTACGCTGCAGGTGGATTTCCTGTGCCCTGATTGGCCGCAGTACAGGCATAGATGATTTTGCAATCGGTGCATTCTTTCCTCATGGGTGAGACGGGTGAAACCCAGTTGCATGGGTTCATCAGGGGGCGTATCGCCTGAAACGTGGAACTGTGTGCGAGGATTTCTACGGCTGCGAATCAGATGATCAAGACGGATGGTAAGTTCAATGAGTTCGTTCAATTTCTTTCCTTCGTCACGGCAAGCCAATTCAGATTGCAGAGTGGCAGTCAGACCCCGTCTGAATAGTGTCTTCAGTGTGTCTTCAACCCAGTTAGTTTGAGCGGCGAGAGTGCGAAATGACAAGGCGTATTCTGCAGCTGTGTTACGCCCCTGGGTAAGAGAAAGTAACTGCTCACCGGGGCTTCTCCCTTCTGCTGGATGCTCAAACACTTCCCGAAACTGCTTGAGAAAATTTTCAAACGTTGGGTAGTTACATTCCTCCTCCTTCCATATCGCTGTAGCCCATTCCAGCGCTTTTCCCGTTAACAGATTGCATACAAAAGCCACTCGACTGGAATCAGTGGGATATAATGCAGGTTGTTGGTTAACAAATAGTTTGCATTGTAATAGGAAGCCTTTGCAGCGAGAAGGTGAACCATCAAACTTTTCAGGAAAAGCTAATCGGGGACTTACGGTAGCCGGAACACTGGAGACATGCGTTGGGTGAGGAGCTGTCATGGTAGCAGGCGGGGTAACTGCAGGATTCGGATGACGGAGTTGCTGCATAGCTCTCACCAGTTCCTCCGTGAGAGATGTTAGATGGGTGAGTTGTTGATGATGGGTGGCTAACTGAGTGGCTTGAGCGGAAAGTTCAGTAGAAACTTGTGCTAAAGCTGCTGGATTCTGTAGTGGCGAAGTCTTCTGTTGTGATGAGTCAGAAGGCATTGAATCCATTTGCAAACTTTATTAAAAGCACACATACATACAAACACAAAGGGGCAATCCAGGAGACAGAACGTGGGACAGGCAAAAGTTCAAAGGCAGGCAGATATCTTACTGGTCAGAATAACAGGCTGGAGATCAGGGGCAGGCAGATGTCTTTCGTAATCATAGAACAAGCACAGGGTCAGAAACACAGATCAGTCCGAAGCAGGGAGTATGGAACGCTCAGAAATGACAGCCAGGCAAATCAAGACTTCGCAATGAACCAGAGCGTGAGTGCGGTATATATACACGGGAGTTGATGAGCTGCACCTGGACCGCAATCAGTGCCAGGTAGCAGGGCTTGTGGGATTTTGAGTCAGTGAGTCGAATTAGAATTCGGGCGATGGCTCCCTCTGGTGGTGCACAAGAGGATCGGCATCGCCCTCATTTACAACATCCCAACACATGCATCGCAATTTATAACTTTCCGATTTAGTGGCTAAATCAAATTTGTACGACCTTAAATATAGATTTTAGGTTTGCAGTGGAGTTTGGGGGCATTTCTCTTTTTAAAAATCATATCGAATGAATACATTGAAATTTTAAAAATTTGTGCAAATGACTTTTCTGACAATACATAAAATAGTAGGGATGTAACGGTATCAGAATTTCACGGTACAATACCTCGGTATGAATGGCACGGTACGGTATTTATTGAATAATTTACAGGAAAAACAAAACTAATGAAAAGACTCGAAAAAAAGTGCCAAAAGTGTTTATTTACCCTAGCACTGAACATATCGATGACATACAAATTAGCCATCTTTTTAGAACTTCAATTTTAATAACAAAAAACTATTAAACCATATAAAAAAAATAGTTTCAATTTAGTATTGTTGAAAACTCATCACATTCAACATTTAATCACTCACTCACTTAGATAGAGATGGGTTTTTTAAGGAAAATTATCATATAACTATAATCTGGTAAAAGCTGGGATCTCTGGGCATGTCCCCTGCAACAGAAAAAAACCCTCTCATTTGGGACTGAGGTTTCTGGGACAGAGAGATATGATTTAGCCTAGGTTGACAGCAGTGGGTAACGTTGTGCATTGTCTTTCCACAACTTGAGAGGACAAGCCATGAGTGAGATAGAGATCTCTTTGCGGTACAAGTCAATGTCTGCATTAATCTAAAAAGTGTGCTGTGTTCTGCTGTCCCCATGACTGTTTTTAGTCGTATTCCCCGACTTATATTTCACCACAGTCGGGCAGTGCCTTCATATTGTTTTTTTCTTTGTCTGTCACCTTTTCTCCTTTTTCGTATCATTTTAGAAAGAAACCGATATGCTTCCACACATTCAATTTCAAACCCGCTTTAGGTTTGATCATTTCCAGCTCTTTTTCTTCCCCGCTACTAGCAACACACTCCATTTCCGCATTACTGGATCTGTAGTGACAACAGACCACAGTACCTACAGTAATATTGAAAAAAATTATTATTGCGGTATGACGGTATTTACAATATTGTTACATCCCTATAAAATAGTAGTTTTCTTGTGAAATCGGGCCTTATTTTGAGCTTACCTACCCAAGGCACTCTGCAGATACCGCACACTACTAATTTTCAAAAACTCAGCAGTCTTTCTCATGTGTTATCGCTGAGGTTTAAAAGTGTGAAGAATTTTCCTAGAAACATTTTTGAGCAAATCCATTACTGGCAGTGGACGGATGAGACGTGACGATGCGTGTAATTATATATGATTAGATTAGAGAAATGAATGAGAGTTAATCTCCTGATGAAGGGCTGTTACTACTATACGTTTTAGTTATTAAACATGCAAATAGTGCGCCCAGTGAGCCCTAGATGCATTTTTACAGTCCCTGTGCTATTAGTTCATTTAAGCATTTAAGCTTTGCCTTGGTGAACTCACACACTTAATGATTTGTTACGCCACACACAAATCTATTAGAAAACTTTAAAAATGCTGAGCGTGTGAAACCAAGCTTTACACACATTAATGGTGTGCTGGAAGTTCATTAGAGATCAGTTGGTGTAATTTGGTGGATTTCTTTAAATATACGCTTGAGTGAAACTTTCAGACAAATTGTGGATACAACAGTAGAAATTCTCCAGTTTTTGGTGATGTTGTGTGTGTTAGTGAGGAGAGGTTAAAGTGGAAATTCTTACCTTATTTTGAATTTAAGTAAAATTAGTTTTTGTTTCTCACTTTATTTTACATTTCTCGCTATTAACAAACCATTAACTATGACTGTCTTAATACAGTTCTGATTTGATGCTTATTAATAATTATATTAAGGTAGTAGATAGGTTTAGATCCGGGGTGCCCAAACTTTTTCATATGAAGGGAAAAAAACAAACTTGATTGAGGGTGGTATAAATATACCAAATTGTATTACATTAAAACTTCCTAATTTAACAATATTTAAATATATAGAAACAGTTCTTTTATTGCATTAATAATTATATATATATATATATATATATATATATATATATATATATATATATATATATATATATATATATATATATATATATATTTTTTTTTTTTTTTTTTTTTTACATTTTAGAATGTACTTCTCACAATAAAACTGTATACAATCTAATTTATAACACAATGGAGTTCAATGATTTTATTTTTTATTAAAAAAAGAATAAATATCACTCGATAGTGAAATACATGTGTCCTAAAAGTATTTTTAGCAACGTGCCACGTGTTATATAGACATATATATCTGTCAACATTTGAAAAAAGAAGGACCCTATAAAAAAATCTGATTAATTCACATTTATTAAAACATTTAACTTCAGTTTAGTTTTTTTGTAGCTCAGCAATCAAACAAACAAACAAACAAACAAACAAACAAACAAACGGTTATGTTAGATTAGAAATGATGATCTCTGTTTGAGGGATTTGCCCCAACTTTCCCCATTATTTGTCCATCTCTTCTCTGATTAGTTGTCGGGCCCTAGTTTGCTCATCTCTGGTTTAGATATAGGGATGAAGAAAAAATCCACACAGAATATAAATTTCATAAGTACAAATGAACAACCAATATTGTAACAATAGGCAGGTGATACGCTGGTTAAAGGGGTTTCACCAATCAGGACATGTTCCAGTCAGCCAACCAGAGTTAAGGGATAAGTTTACAGTTTATGTTAAATTTATGTCTACAGTTAAAGGGTTATGTGCGTCCACCACTCCCAGCAAGCACCTTGATGTCTAAATGACAGCATTACGCCAAAATGCATGTAAAAAATGAAAACCAATTTGATGTCAAAATCTTGACATTATGGAGACCCTTTTGATTACCAAAATAAGAACACAAAACTTATAAAAAAAAGTGTTATGCACCTGAAAGCTTCAGTTGCAAAATACAGTGGATTTTGCATCCCTACAATACATGTAAACTATCTTGATGTCAAAAGGACATTAACTGGATCTAACATTTTCATCAAAACAATGTAAAAATTAATTACAGTACTAGTCTATGATTAACAAAGATGTTTACATGTCTTACTTGGAAAAATCACACTTAACCAGCTACAGTAATAGTGAGAATTGGTCTCTAAACTAGTGTTTACATTTTCTTTCACCAAATGATAGCAATATAAATAGATTTTAATAACTTGTATTCATTTTGAAATGTAGTATTGTATACATGGATTTTCTTTTGAATCATTTTATTTGACTGATCTTGCACAAAATGTTCTCTCTTGTTTTTCCTCTTGCAGTTTCTTGTTGTGAGAAAACACATTCTCATGCTGAAGATGAACTCTTTAAAAAGTTATTCGATGGCTATAACAAGTGGTCAAGGCCTGTACCCAACACCTCTGATGTTGTGATTGTCAAGTTCGGTTTATCCATCGCCCAGCTGATTGATGTGGTAAGCTACTACCATCTTGCATGGAAATGTAGAATAATTTCAACATGCGAGCATGATGAATTCTAACTCTGTCATTTAACATAAATACGATTGACATGTATACTAGACTTGTATATTGGCTTAAAAGTACTGTATGTGTGTGCATCTGTATACTGTAGAAAAATAATACAAATTTAAATTCATGACTGCAGTATAATAATTTACAATATTAAATTAAGTTAACCATGTTTTACCAAAGAATACACAAGTCTCAGTGTAATGACAGTAATTGAATCAACTTAAATGTTAAAGCAACACATTTTACCATTAGTCCAGTCTTCAGTGTCAAACAATCTTTCAGAAATCAATATAATATGATGATTTATGTATAGGTAGTTCAAAAGAATGTTCGAAAAGCTTGTAACGGTGGCAATGTACAAAGTCAATATTTCTTATAAACAACAAAGAAAAATAAAATAAAGTAAAAAAAAAAAAAATTCTTTGCCGAGGCGGGATCCGGACCCTGGTCTCTTTTGTGTCGGGGCTCTGCGACGTACCCACTCGGCCACATGACTCTTAAAAAATATTCTTGCCCACAGCAGTGTTGCCATACACCAGTGCACCCCGGAAACAAACAAAAAAAAGTATTATCGACTTTTGCACTAAACAAATGACTTTGCACTAAAGATTAAAGTAAAGAATTGTTCGGGTGCCAGACAGGATTGATACCTGTCAAATTAAATATAATAAATTATGCCCAGATAACCATCCGTTACACACAAAATGAAGTGAAATAAATTATCAAACAAGATTCAAATTTAACTCGGGTTATATTTCAAACAAAACAACAAATCACAAGGAATATTAAATTAGCATCTGTAACAGTGAAGACTTAACAGTCCCGTCCAGATCAAAAACAAAGCACAAACAAAAATAGATAGTTACGCATCAACAAGCAAAACAAAAACTACTTCAATTGTATAATTTGAAAACAACAACAACAAAAAACAAAGAGGGGAAAACAAATCAATACTCACACAAGGGAACTGAAGCTGTATTTGTATATTACTGTTACTGCGTTACTGAACTACTAATACTTATACTGTATGTCATAACTCAATATGTCTCATATTGCAATAAAGATTAATAAAAGTTAAAAATATATACAGTTGAACTCAGAATTATTAGCCCCCCTGATTTATTAGCCCCCATTTATTTTTTCCCCAATTTCAGTTTAACAGAGAATTTTTTTCTACACATTTCTGAACATAATAGTTTTAAAAACTCATTTCTAATAACTGATTTATTTTATCTTTGCCATGATGACAGTAAATAACATTTTACCAGATATTTGTCAAGACACTTTTATACAGCTTAAAGTGACATTTATAGGCTTAACTAGGTTCATTAGGTTAACTAGGCAGGTTAGGGTAATTAGGCAAGTTATTGTATAACAGTGGTTTGTTCTGTAGAATATCGAAAACAAATAGCTTAAAGGGACTAATAATTATGACCTTAAAATGCTTTTTAAAAAATTAAAAACTGCTTTTTTCTAGCTGAAATAAAACAAATCAGACTTTTTTCAGAAGAAAAAATATTATCAGACATACTGTGAAAATTTCCTTGCTCTGTTAAACATCATTTGGGAAATATAAATGAAAATTAAAAACTAAAAGGGGGGGCTAATAATTCTGACTTTACCTGTATATATATATATATATATATATATATATATATATATATATATATATATATATTCCACAATTTTAGCCTACACTTCAAGTACACTACAGGTCAAAAGTTTTTACAGTGATGTGACTGGAATAATAATGCTCAAGATTCAGCTTTCAATCACAGGAAAAAATAAAATACATAGTAAAATATGACAGCGTTATTTTAAATAGCTAAACCTTTTGAAAATGTCACTGTTTTAGCTGTATGTTGGATCAAATAAATACACATTTGGTGAGCAAAAGGAAAACTTCTTTAAAAGAATATAATAAAAATGGTAGTATAAATCTGTACATTGCCAGTTTTTAGTAGTATGTTAGTGAAATGCTTTTTAAAGCATTGTAAGCATGATGGTGTGCATTGTAAGTATGATAAATACAAAAACAAATAACAAAAAATAACAGTTTTTTTTTTCTTATAGATCATTTCTTATAGATCTTTTAACATGAACTTTCTACAGGGTCCTAAATCTTAAAATCTTGATAAACTAGAGTACATGGTCTCTCAAGTCCATCAGAAGATTAAAATTATAAGGTTCTTGTGACCTTCCTGAACCAAAAGCATTCTGCTGGAGCAAACCCAGCATCCTGACTCATCTAATACTATCCGTCCTTCCTTATTTCTCTCCTCCCCAGGACGAAAAGAATCAGATGATGACAACAAACGTCTGGCTCAAGCAGGTATGTGTGGCAATAAAGGTAATATGTGGAATTTAGGGGGGAGAAAGGTTTAAATAATCCAGCATTCAGTAAATAAATTGGCAAAAGCTCAAATAATGTAAGACATTTTACAGTGAATTAATGCTAATTTGTTATATTTTGTGGCCTCTCGTTCAGGAATGGAATGATTATAAACTGCGCTGGAAGCCTTCAGACTACGACAATGTGACTTCCATCAGGGTTCCATCAGAACTCATCTGGGTTCCGGATATAGTTTTGTATAACAAGTGAGTAACCATCCATCTAAGACAGTGATGCCCAAACTAGGGCCGTAACATTTGATTTGGTCTGCCATCCCATCTAAAAAGAGAAAAGGAATGATGGCCATGGATTAGATGTTGTCATTTCAAATCTAATGTAACATTGTTTGTTTGTTTTATTGTTAAAAGCTACAGAAATTAATTAAATGATGTAAATGAATTAGATTTAGTTTAAATGGACAAAAATAATTGTGATTGTTTATGTTTAAATTGCAATAAGTTATCATTTTTAAATGTTATACTGTATTAGTTCATATGACTTAAAGAAATGTTTTCTATTGGCGTTTAAGTCTGAAATAAATTAGGAAATACTCATTGCAACTTCAATGTAATATACAGTACCTTGATATATTTAACTTTGGCCCACGACTAATGATATTCAGCTTTTGGCCCTTTTTACCAATAAGTTTGGGCACCTCCGATCTAAGCTAAACATCATTTAGCATCAAGAAAAGCCAGAGGGAGAGATATTAAATATGTAATGGAGTGTAGACTCTTGTGAATTTGGGATGTCGACTCTCAGAAGCACAAGCAGTGGCAGTTGGAGCATTGGAGTTGTTCTTAAACTGAAATGAACTCACACACTTCTTTAAACTGCCATCTGCTGTTTGAATTTAGTACTGCAACTGCTTAGGCATCATTTCAGTTTACATATCAGTTTGTATACAGGCCTGTAGCCAGCCTGGTAAAAGGGGTGGTAATTTTTTTCTCAAAAAGTGGACCCTTATGCAGTTATAAATCTAATTTTCTATTTAATTATGAGATTTAAATTAGTGTCATTTTAAGCAGTATTTTTTATTTTTTTTTTTTGCTGCTGCATTTGCTAGTCAGATGGTCATCATAACCACACTTTTTGATATACCCAAGAAAATTTAGAATAAAAAAATGTGATAAAAAATACTTAAAACATACACTTATTACATGATGTATCATTAGAAAAAAAATCTGTTAAAGTTTTAAATTAAAAACTGTAGTCTTTATGTTTAACAGAGCGATGGCATTTTCACATTATGTCTGATACTATTTTTTTTTCTGGAGAAAGTTTCATTTTTTTAAAACCATTTTAAGAAAAAATTATTAGCCCCTTAAAGCATTTTTTTTCAATGGTCTACAAAACAAACCATCATTATACAATAACTTGCCTAATTACCCTAACCTGCCTAGTTAAATGTCACTTTAAGCTGTATAGAAGTGTCTTGAAAAATATCTAGTAAAATATTATTTACTGTCATCATGGCAAAGATAAAATTAATCAGTTATTAGAGACGATTTATTAAAACTATTATGATTAGAAATGTGTTGAAAAAAAATCTTCCCTCTGTTAAAAAACAGGTGACCTAATAATTCAGGGGGGCTAATAATTCTTACTTCAATATATGATATATATAGCCTTTTCTTAGAGGCAAAAAACAAACTGGCCAGCACATTCACCTTTCCTTAGTCAGAATTTGGCCATTATAATAGAAATAAATATTACAACATAATAATAATATTAATAATTATAATAATGTAGAGCTTTAAATTTTTCATAGCTTCTCGTTTAATAATTTGATCTGTCAAAATATTATATAATAATAATAATAATAATAATAATAATAATAATAATAATTATGCACATTTATCAATAAGTATAGCAAAACCAGTTAATTTTGACTTTGTGGGGACATTTTTTGTCTCTTTAAAAGAATGAAAATGTAAAAATGCAGATTATTTCCTGTGAGGGTTGGGTTTTAGGGGTAAAGGGACAGAATATACAGTTTGTCCAGTATAAAAACGATTACGTCTATGAGAAGTGTCTACAAGCGTCTGCTAAATGACTAAATGTAAATGTGTGTGTCTGATAAGAAAAAAATTATTTTTGTCAAATACAAAATTTCAACCCTAAAGTCCACACGTAAACACTACAATAAACAGGTTATAACATTTTTTTTGTTTATTTACTCACTATCATACCAGTTATTTATTTTTTATGTATATCATTTTAGTAAAATAACAAAACTATTTATAAAACAGCCATTATTAAACTCATGTAAAGCTGTTTGAGACATAATAATAATGCTTGTGCATTACATCTTCATCTATTATATCAGTGTTTGTAGTTAAAAGTAGGCTAAAAAACTTTTATCAGCTACTCGATTAATTGGTGTGTTACATAATTTTAAGTAATTAATAATTGTAAAAATTTAAAGTTGCAACTGACCAAATAAACGCTGCTGTCCTCTTCAGTGCAGATGGGGAGTTTGCGGTGACCCACATGACCAAAGCCCACCTCTTCCACACAGGTAAAGTGCGCTGGGTTCCACCTGCCATCTACAAGAGCTCATGCAGCATCGATGTCACCTTCTTCCCCTTTGACCAGCAGAACTGCAAGATGAAATTCGGCTCGTGGACTTACGACAAAGCCAAGATTGACCTAGAGCGAATCGAGAACACAGTGGACTTGAAAGATTACTGGGAGAGTGGAGAGTGGGCCATTATCAATGCTGTAGGCACATACAACACCAAGAAGTATGACTGCTGCCACGAGATCTACCCAGACATCACCTACTTCTTCATCATTCGCCGTCTGCCGCTCTTCTACACCATCAACCTCATCATCCCCTGCCTGCTCATCTCCTGCTTGACTGTACTGGTCTTCTACCTTCCGTCTGACTGTGGTGAAAAGATCACTCTGTGTATTTCAGTCCTCCTCTCACTCACTGTCTTCCTCCTGCTTATTACAGAAATCATCCCATCCACTTCGCTCGTGATCCCACTCATTGGTGAATATCTGCTTTTCACTATGATCTTCGTCACTCTGTCCATTGTCATCACCGTTTTTGTGCTCAACGTCCATCATCGATCACCGAGCACTCATAAGATGCCCTGTTGGGTTCATTCGGTCTTCTTGGATTTGATCCCCCGATGGCTGTTTATGCGCAGACCAGCACCTGACAGCCGTCGCAGACAGAAACTCTTGCTTCTGCAGCGACAGGTGCCAGGAATGACAGCACGACCCGCAAACGCTTCCCTCAGTACATCTACTAGCTGGTTCAGAGGGCAGAACTCTGGGGAGGATGAGTCCTGTAGGCACTTCAGTTATAAGGACTTAGAACTAGGGACACTATCTTCGGCCATCTCACTTTCGCTCCAAGCCAGCTCGCCATGTCCTCTTGGCTTAACTCCGCCTCCTCTACAGAAATTTGGCCCAGCCCCTAGACTTGAGGTGGGCACGGCTTCCAGGCAGCTCAGTGGAAGAGCTAATGTTACAAAGAGGCTTGACAACATGATACCCCATGACAACCCAGGGTTCCCTCTGTCCCCCAGCGTCCTTCAAGCTTTGGAGGGGGTTCACTATATTGCAGACCACCTGAGAGCCGAAGATGCTGATTTTAGTGTAAGTTTCTTTCAGAGTCTTTAGCACAGCTGTAGACAAGTTCAGTCCTGGAGACCTGCAGTCCTGCAGAGTTGTAATCTAAGGTTTGATTGAAAAGTCACTTGCACCAACCAGTGACTTTTCATCAATTGATAGTAAGAGTGTTACTGATATCTCGGGATCTGCACACCGGTGGTTCAACTCATACCTCTCAGGTAGGTCTTTCAGGGTATCTAAAAGAGGTGAAGTTTCCAAGCTGCAAAATCTTGCTACTGGGGTGCTTTAGGGTTCTGTCCTGGGACCACTTCCCTTCTCTATCTACATGACATCAATTGGGTCTGTCATTTAGAAACTTGTAATTTCCTAACATTGCTATGCTGATAGGAGCAAAACTCTGCAGGACTACTCAACTCTGTAGGTCTGAATTTGCCTACCGCTTACCTTGCATGAAAAACATGTATATAAACATTTTTATATAGCCACAGTAGATCCATCAAGCTTGCCACCGACCTACATCTTGTTCAGTTCTATTTGAAACCTTGAAACAAGGAGTTGTCAAGTCAAATTCAAACTGTCCTTTACTAGTTACACATCATGCTATACATGTACTATATAATAATCCACTAATTCATCTTACTGTATGTCTTCACACAGGTAAAAGAAGACTGGAAGTATGTTGCTATGGTAATAGACAGAATCTTCTTATGGATGTTCATCATAGTATGTTTGCTGGGCACAATTGGTCTCTTTCTCCCACCATGGCTCGCAGGGATGATCTAGAAACACAGCACTAAATATCTTTTAAGAACATCGAGGACTTTTAATTTATGGGCTTCCACAGTAAGAACCAGCATGGGAACACAAATGACCCTCCTTGCAGCGATCGTCATGCAGTAATAGTGAAATTTCTCCTGCATTTGGGGTAATATGCATGAACTGGAATGTGGCACCAATCACCAGACCTGTCCTCCAATCTATACAACCATATAGGTTCTTTGTCCTTTTCCTGACATATGACCCATAGAAGCATTTACTAAAATAGTGCTCCTACTGCGAGTGAGACACGGGATCCATGGTGAAACTTTATCTATGTAAAACTCAGAACTGATAGAGAATTGCATTATGGTCGCGGAACAAACTTTGATTCAATACCAGAGAACAAACACGTTGTTAAAATATGTACCTAAAACTAAATTGTATTCCATTTGCCAAATTTTGGTCACTGAAAAGACGTAACGTACAAATATTGGGTAACACAAGGGATAGAGCTATGGTACATTTTTTGAGAAATTCTTTCAGAAAATTCATCACTATTCCCGATTAAATCGATTCTCAGTTTAGATGTTCACAGCAGATGGCACTCTCGGCTTTACAAATAGCAGTACGCTGCTTCCAACTCATTTCTTACAAATGCTACTTGAAGCTAAGATAATCTTTAATAAAATTAGTGTTCACACTTTGCACATTATCTACATTAATCTTGTGATATAGAGGCCAACTTACATGAGGCTCTTCCTCATGAGTGTTTAGGTGCACAGTTAAAAATTAGAATAGAGCGCCATCTGCTGTTGAAAACTAAGCTCAGAATCAATTCAAAAGAGAATAGCGATGCATTTGTAAAATATTAGTATTGATACAGAATCCATTTCTCAAATTATTTTTCACCTTTTGCTTTAGTATGGGACCATCTAAAAAGTCCACATGCTACATTTTAAAGAGCTTGTATTTTGATTGGTAATTTTGATTGGATTATTGACAATAATCTAGTTGGCACTCTAGGTCGTAAAACTTTGCTTGCACAAATAACCTATTTGGTTTTTAGGGCGCACTCACACTATGCAATCTGAATCGGGCTCAGGTGCGGTTAAGTTGGCTGGCCCTGGCCCAGTTGGAAGAGGTGTGCCAGAGCGCAGTTCACTTAGGCTTGTAGCTTGAGTGCAAAGTCACCATGCCCGAAACTGAAGATGAGACGCGACTTGTAAGGGACTGTTTCGTATGTGTTTATTAATCATTCTTACTGTTCAATGAACGCAAACTGTCATGGATTATTAAAGACGCAAACCCCTCACTGCATGACAGCTGCACCTTTAGCAAACCCCCTGATTCCTGCAGCACGAAGACTTTATGATTGTTTATGAGCGTCAAAAGTTGCTGATCTCTTCAGCTAAATATCAGACTGCGTCACCGCATCCCAAAACGACTATAACGATATAACTAAGGAAGGCTCCACTGTGCTGAGCGAGAGCGCTTTTTACTGAACAGCGAATCATCGATGATGTAAGCGTGCTCAGGCGCTAATGCGATGTAAGTGCGGGCTGTCAGGGGAGACGGGAGGAAGTACAAGTGTGCTTCGGCCCGGTTCAAGGCAACTGTACGTAGTATGAGTACGCCCTTAGAAGAGGAATTTCTCCAAATGCCAGGTATTTTCTAAAGACAGAGGAGCCAACATTTAAAGAGGTTTATTTATGAAAATGCTTGTATTTGAATGTACTGTATAACCTTGAACATTGTTAAAAATTAAAGGTGCCAACTGGATGAGAGGCTCAGTGATGTACTGTAACTAACTACATTAATAAAATCACTAGGGTTGGTGTTCCTCATGTCGTCCATGAATGTTTTCACTCAAATAGCTCTTTATGCCCATAAGATTTATAGTCAAATCCCAAATGGCACCCAAAAATCCTTACAATCATGCTCAGAGTTCTCACATTGACAGTCAGTAGACATAATAGACTTCCCACCTTTCATTGTTCTGAAAGCTAAAATGAAGAATGGGACACCTTACAGACACACACACAGCAGTGAATAAAGACTGCGGGTGCACATGAAGTGTGACATTTTGAATTGGGCGTATCCTGTTTGAAATGCAGAAACAGACTGCAGACTGCAGACAAGAATGTCTTGGGATTTTCAGTCCATGCAATAGAAGGAAAATAACTAAAATTATATTCTTACAAACAGTCTTTAAATTCTCATCTTTGGTGTTCAGTAGAAAGTCAGCCGTACAGGTTCAGAATGACCCAACGGGATGAATAAATAATGAAAAATAAGTGAATGAATCAATGAATAAATGGAACTGACTTCAAATAACAAGAGAGTAATCAAACTTCAAGTAAATATAAAGAAGCCCTGTGATGGATATTTACATTTTGACACATTTCTGTACTGTAGCTTGATAATATTCCAATTCAATCACTGAAGGTATATGATCTAATTGAGGATGATTTTAGGTATTTTTCTTAACTTTGCTCAAGCCGGAACCCTTGTCTATGGAGGATGAGGGAGCTCTCAGATTTCACCCAAAATATCTGAATTTGTATTGCAAAAATAAACAAATGTCTGGAATGGGATGTGGGTGTAGTAATCAATAACAAATGATGAACTAACCCTTTGAATGCTTAACTCTTACAAATCACAATGATACCACATGTCAAATAATGTGTGCCAAAATCAGGCTGACAGTCACATTTGTTATAATATCTTGTGGTGCTTTTAAAAGCCTGAAAGCATGTTGTTTTTTAATGCTGTTCGTAGACATAAAAAGCACCATTTAAAAAAGGATTTCATAAAGTTTTTGTCCATAATCATAAATGTAATTAAAAAGACAAAAGAACTGTTGAATTATTCTGCAAGCTAGTTGTTAACATGTAAAGCAATATCAATATCAGAGCACTATAAACTAAAGAGCTTGGGGTATACATAAGTTACACACCAGAAATTACACACCCTTAAATCACACATCATATCAGTTCCAAAAAAAAAAAAAAAAAAGAGGTTACTTTAAGCAGGCCAATAGCCAGCCTGGTGAAATGGGTTCTTTTTTTCTCAACTTTTTTGCAGTTATTTGCCTCATTTTCTTTTCATGTGAGGTTTAAATACTGCATTTTTTTAATTGACATTTTAAGCACTATTTATTTCTGGATTAGCTTATCCCGTGGTCATCATAACTACAATTTTTAATGTACCAAAAACATTCATTTATTCATTTGGCTTAGTCCTTTTATTAATCCAGGTCTGCCACAGCGGAATGAACCGCCAACTTATCCAGCATATGTTTTATGCAGCGGATGCCCTTCCAGCTGCAACCTATCACTGGGAAAAATCTATTCGCACTCATTCACACACACGTTATGTACAATTTAGCTTAACCAATTCCCCTATACCACATTTTTTTGGACTTGTGGGGGAAACCGGAGCACCCGGAGGAAAACCCACGTGAACACAGGGAGAACATCCAAACTCCACAGAGAATTTCCAACGGACCCAGGCGAGGCTGGTGACCTTCTTGCTGTGAGGTGATTGTGCTACCCACTGCGCCACCGTGCTGCACCACTTATTATTTGTAAATACAAGATATATCACATCATACATCATTAGTCTATTGTTATTTGCGAGGCAAATTGCAAACTTGCCGGCACATTCAACTTTTCTAGGTGTGAATTTGGCCTTTTGAATAATAAAAAATTAAAACATGATAATAATGACGTAGAGCTTCCAGATTTTTTAGTTTTCTTGTAAAATAGTACATTTGAAAATTTATAGATGACAACAATAGCCTAATTAGTATTAAAATGAACTTTAATATGCTTTAGAATTACCTTTCAGTGCTTCACTCCTTTTTATTGTTCATTTTTTCTTTCTAGAATGTCTGAAATTTAGAATAAAAGTTACTTGTAAGCAATACAGTAGGACAGGAGTGAAAGAAAACTTCACTTATGTCAGATTCCACTTGGTCTTCTTTAATGAGTTATTTTTACAATTTATGATGGCACAGCAGTCAAAATATGACAAAATAGGATGAACTCATGTACAGTATGGGACAAATTCTGGACCTTTGTCAATGGGGGGTCTTTCAAACCACCCGAACCCTCCCTGGCTATGGGCCTGTTAAGTGTAACAAATAACAATAGCAGCTTGTTTAAAACATACACAGCAATAATATCTTCCGAAGCACAAACTGTTTTTAATCATTCTTTCTTCTTTCATATAATTGTAGTTCACAGTAAAAAAAAAAAAGTTTTAGGTTAATCAACTTAAAATTTTATGTTAATATGACAGTAAGTTAAATGGTTAGTTTACCCAAAAAAGAAAAAGAAAATGAATAGAAATTAACAAAATAATTTACATTTTTGAGTGAACTAACCCTTTAACTTTACTTTTTGGAATACCCATCGGCTTTACTTGGATCTCTACATTATAAAAGTTTCCATGGAGAACAGAACATGCATCAGTAAACCTATACTGGTTTTCTATTGGCTGTTTCATGCCCCATTCTGGTGTTGGCATTGCCCTATTACTGCATTACAATCTTATCAAACAAATGAGTAAGTTTGTCCTGCACTCAGCTCTGAATCAGCTCCTCTAGTCTGCTGGTGAGTCTGGATCATCAGGCTTGGGTTTGGCCAGATTAGAGCGCACCCGAGCCTGATCTACAGCATCTAACAGGTTCTTGGCATCCATGGCCAAAGTGTGTGCCGCTGTCAGCATCTGTTTCTTGCACTCCTCCTTCAGCGAGGTGATGGCGTTCTGCTGGGCAAGACGCATCTTACTGATGAGCTCAGCCAAGTCTTTATTTAACAGCTTCTGAGTGCCTTCGATCTAAGAGCAGAGACAAAGGCATGTTGAGTTCACATTAGCACTTATCTGTATGGAGAAGATTTAACTCGCTCTTAGCACCACTTTGGCAACGCCATACTTGGCAAAAAGTCATAGATTCAGATTGATACCTCTGTTCTACAAGAAATGTGCAGAGTTGGTAGTATGTCATCCACACTGTTGATCAGATCTCGTAATGACAGCCCGACAGTCTGCAAAAAAAAACAACAAAAAAAAAAAACGAATATTCAAAATACAAATACAAACTTTTGGGGATTTACACCTACCTAATATTAAATAGTAACTGTTCCTGACTCCAGTAAGTTACAAACACAAATTAGGGATCATTGGAAAGAAGACACTTTGAGCTTTACTGTGGTAAAAGGGGAAGTTACATGCTCGAAAAAGTTATACATGCTATAAAAAGTTATGAGAAAAAAATTTGTATTTTGTTCAATATTTGTTTTCCATATACAAACACAGGAAAACATTAATGCAATGTCCTACAAAAAATATTACTTGAAAGCTAAGTGATTCATGAGTTTATACTTCAAAAATGATTAAGATTGCTTGCAAAATGAGATTTCTGTAAAAAGTTTTCTGAGATTATATCAGTGTCCTTCTTTCCCTCACCTACAGAGGCACTTTCACAAGCATGACCTTCCTAAACCAAAACATTAACAGTTGCTGAATAATTTTGCCTCCATTCACAGTTCATGTATCTTTAGAAAGGAGACGCTTTGGGCTTTATTATCCATCATCTAGAGTTTTGCTCGAAGTGAAAAATGTTATTGATGCCTAAGTAATGTAAAAAAAAATTGCACCGCACTAAACATTTTCATTAACAAATATATAAAATTAGTCCTGGAGCAATACAGAAAAGTAATAGGTCAAAAACTACACATTACATGAATATATTTTTTGAATTTGATATTTGATATTTGAGATGAAACATGAAATCGTTTTTAAGCCCTAAAAGGGAGTTCACCCAAAAATAAAAATGTATACACTATTTCCTCACCCTCAAGTGGTTAAAATCTTTTTTAGTATATATTTGGTTCAGTTGTACACAAATAGAAGATTTTTTTTTCAAAAGCTGAAAACCTGTGAACACCAAACATCCATAAGAAAAACAAATATGGAAGTCAATGGTTACTGTTTTCCAGCTTTATTCAAAATATCTTCTTTTGTGTTTACTTAGGTTTGAATCAAGTGAAGGGTGAGTAAATGATGACAGAATTTTCATTTGTGGGTGAGCTTTCCCTTTAACTGAGAACACTGGTAAAAACCTATTAAAAAACAAAAATTCTATACAAGAATCATAAAGTAAGTTGTTGTAAGATAGTGATAGCTTTTATTTACAACATGTGATGACTTTTAGTCACAGCATGATTTACTTTACAACACTTTTACGACCTTTTGTGCACCTACTAAGGCTGCATTTACACTATGTTGTTGATTTATTATGGCATTTTAGAATAAAATGATCCTCGTCTATACTGGTGTTTACTGCGTTTCAGAAAAAACGATCTCTGTACACACTAAAAACCTAACATGCATGATACCCACTAGGGATGCCACAGTTCTCAATATAATATTGAACCGTACGGTACAACCTCCACGGTTAAATATGCGCTTGTGAATTACAGTTTCCTCGGTTTTGCGTTTAAATAATTTATGTGCGTTTTACATCTCCCCAAATTGACTGTATGTGCCTGTAAGTCCATGAGCTTGGATGAGGAAACTCCTCCCCGCGAGTAAATTTCCAATTACTATGCTCTAAAGTTAGGGGGCGCTTGACCATCATTCCACACTTTAACATTGCGAGCGGGGGTTTAGGCAACAGTACAAGGAAGCACTGGCGAAGTGAGGCAACAGTACGAGAAAGCGCCAGCATTTTTTTAAATCTTCGGTGTGAGGACATTTCGGTTTTGCCGGTAAGTATAATGCCAATAAAAGAAAAAAAAAACGTGAACAAAAAATAACTGTGTGCAAGCATTGTTTTACACGTATAAACATGACTGCACATCTGTAGCACCATCACCCAGCAATATCACTGTCTGAAGGCAGGATAGCAGAGAAGGTAATAGAGTCCTCCAAATAGCAACAATCCCTCGCTGAATCTTTCAAGCAAACATATGTTCACATGTATGTTTATTTTCAAAAAGTAGAATTTTATGTGTTCCCCAGTTTGTACATGGGCTACCAGCAGCTGTGAGATTTCAGTGTTAAGTTTTTTTTATACTATTCACTAAGAACTAGGGTACTTTTCTTGGCTTTTTAGTAAAACAAAATGAGCATCAATACTCAGGTAGTCTATGGCATTAACACGATGCTCAATTGGTACTAATAGACCCAAAGTGTGCCAAGAAAATTTCCCCCACACCATTACACCACCACCACCAGCCTGAACTATTTATACAAGGCAGGATGATCCATGCTTTAATGTTGTTTATGCCAAATTCTGACCCTACCATCTTAATGCTGCAACAGAAATCAAGACTCATCTGACCAGGCAACGTTTTTCCAATCTTCTACTGTCCAATTTTAGGGCCTACTCACACTATGCCATCCGTATCGTGCCCAAGCCCGTTTCCCGGATCGTTTAAGAAGTGTGAGTGCGCTGAATCGGGCTCAAGCACGGTTCACTTGGCCGACCCTGGCCCGGTTGGAAGAGGTGTGCCTGAGCCCGGTACACTTGGGCGGTACGCTTGTGTGTGAGTGCAAAACGCGCCAAAGCCCGAAACTGAAAGCGAGACGTGACTTTTAAGGCACTGTTCCATATGGATTTATTAATCATTCTTACTGTTCAGTGAATGCAAACTGCCGTAGTTTATTAAAGACAGCTGCGCGCCTTCAGCAGACCTCCTCATTCCTGCAGCACGAGAGGTTTATGATTGTTTATGAGCGCCAAAAGTGGCGGATCAGTTCGGCGAAATATCTGACTGCGTGTCCCTGCATCCCTAATGACTGTTTGGCGAAATATTTGACGGCATATCAAACGACTGAAACGATATCACTAGAGAAATCTCCACTGTGCTGCTGAGTGAGAGAGTGCTTCTCACTGAACAGCGCAGCAGCGATGACGTAAGCGTGCCGAAGCCCGTTTGTGGTGTGAGCGCGGGCCGTCGGGGGAGACGGGAGGGGGGACAAGCGGGCTTTGGCCCGGTTCGAGGCAACTGTACCTAGTGTGAGTACGGCCTTAATGTCCGAATTGTAGGCTCAGTTTTCTTTTCTCAGCTGACTGGAGTGGCACCCGGTGTGGTCTTCTGCTGCTGTAGCCCATCCGCCTCAAGGTTTGACATGTTGTGGTTCAGAGATGCTCTTCTCCATAACTCAGTTGTAGCGAGTGGTTATTTGAGTTACTGTTGAATTTCTATCAGCTGGAACCAGTGTGGCCATTCTTCTCTGACCTCTGGCAACAGCAAGGCATTTGTGCCCAATTTTTTGATTTGCATTAACGAGCAGTTGGGCAGGTGTACCTAATAAAGTGGCCAGTGACTGTTTAATAGCAATGTACAAGGAAATCTTTGATGGGAAGTTACTGGTAATTAGATCAAGCCTCAATCTGCATATTACAGTGACTGAGAGAGCTCAAATGCACTGCATGTTAAGAAAACACATGTAACTGGAAAAAGCAGATAGGTTTGTAACTTTTTTGTGTTAGTGTTGTTAGCTTTTTACTTGCATTTTACAGGTCATCCTGGTTTACAATATCAGCTAATAAATCTTCTTCAATGTACTACTGAAGTAAAAAGTCAATTACATCTGTGATGACCTGTGTGTGAGTAAATAAACATCAAACTATCATATTGTTACCTTGACAGGAGAGATGTACTCAGTAGACGACAGTGTGTTAATGTCATTTTTCAGCTGCACCACCACCTTGACTACGTCCATGACACACTGGTACACGGTGTCCTCTGAGCGGTCCAGTTCAGCTGTAGGTGCAGGCTGACAGTGACACAACAGACAAGAAACTGAATCATGGATCCTTTCATTGTATAGTCTAATATATTTATTTACACTTTAAACATTTGTAGTGTACATAAAGGCGTTGGTAAATTGAGTCCTAACCTGCACTGCTATTCTGGGTGGTTTTGAAGGAGGATGATGGAGTTCAGCTTTAAGCAGATGCAGAAAAAAGCCAGTATAAAACATTAATACAGCACTATAAATCTATTTATTTTCTCATTAAATACAGTACAGTATGTGATTTGTTTATAGAATTTAAAAACAACTAAACGATAGTCTGTAGAATACAGAGGACTCACCATAGCTGAGTGGTGGTTCAGGTGGCTGGTAAAAAAAGAAATTAAATTAAATAATATACAAAATTATATAAAAAAATATTAGCACCCATGTGAAATTTAAATACTTTTCAAATATTCCTGCATGCTGTTTAAGGAAAAAAAAATTATCAACACATTTTTAAATATAATACTGTTAATAGCTCATTTTTAATAGCTAATTAGTTTGCCATGATGACAGTACAGAATATTTTCCTAGTTATACTTTATATAATATTTTGCAATAATTAAGCTTAAACTGTAATTTAAAGGATTAATATGGTTAATTACAGGCAAGTCCATGGACAACAGTAGTTTGATCTGTAGCCAAATCTCAGAGGGCTAATAATTTTGACATTTGACATTAAAAGACATTTAGCCAAACTAAAAAAATAAATAAATAAAAATAATTTACAGAAGAAAAAAATATATAATAGGAAATACTGTGAAAATATCATTGCTTTGTAACATTGTACATAAAATATACAGTTAAAGTTAGAATTATTAGCCCTCCTGTTTATTTTTTTCCTAATTTCTGTTTAACAGAGAGATTTTTTTCAACACAATTCTAAACATAATAGTTTTAATAACTTATTTCTAATAGCTGATTTATTTTATCTTAGCCATGATGACAGTACATATTATTAGACTAGATATTTTGTATAGACACTTTTATACAGCCTAAAGTGACATTTAAAGGCTTAACTAGGGTAATTAGGTTAACTAGGCAGGTTAGGCAAGTTATTGTATAATGATGGTTTGTTCTGTAGAATATCAAAAAAAAAAAAAAAATAGCTTAAAGGAGCTAATAATATTGACCTTAATTTTTTTTTTTACATTACAAACTGCTTTTATTCTAGCCAAAATAAAACAAATAAGATTTTCTCTAGAAGAAAAAATATTATCAGACATACTGTGAAAATTTCATTGCTCTGGAATGAAGGGTTCAAAAGCAAAAATAATCTAAGTGCGGTCTAAAATCTTCTAATATCAGCATGTTTCTCAGCCTCCTATGAATGTGTTCAGTTATTTAATTTTATAAGCAATGAAAACAACCAATTCTTTGCAATAATTGTAAAATTACTGAACTTACACACCGGACAGAGACAAAACATGCTCATTTTTAATAAATGTTTTTTATCTGAACTCTTGTAATATGTAATATGAACTTTAAAAAGAAGAACGAACCTCAGGAATTTTACTTCCTTCATGAACCATTGGGTCCTGAAAAAATATTCAAGTATTATTCAATTTGTTGAGTATTCAATTTGTTTTATAAAAATATTTCCATACACAAACAAAAAAATGTGCATCATCCTTACTAGAAGCTTCTCCTCCTTCTTTAACCATTTGGTGTCCTCCTCCATTTGCTCTTTTTGCATCTTCAGCGTGTCCTGTAATCGATCCTTCTCCATCTGCCACAGCCGCTGAGCATCTTCTTTACTGGACGGCCCGAAGCTGAAGTCGCCCTCCTACATCAGATACACACCCAAATAGATTCCAAAATAGAGAAATTATTGTTGTTGTTTAAAAATAATGTCTAATCCATTCATTTTCCTTTGGGTTAGTCCCCTTATTCAACAGAGGTCGCCACAGTGAATGAACTGCTAACTTAACTACCATGGGTTGCACAGCGGATGCCATTCCAGTTGCAACCCATGACTAGGAAATAATGTCCAATTAATTTTCTTTTATTAAACTCAGACAAATAAAAAAATTAAGAAATTTGAAAATAGGAATCATGGCTAAATTTTACCCCAAGACTTAGTCGCCGGTTTGGAGTCTTCGGGAGGGACAGGAGGTTAGTTGAGTCCACAGGTGACTGATAATCACACGGACTGGCCAGATCTGGTGAACTTGCACATAAAGCCTCATTAAGCTGGTGGAAAGAGAAGAATATGTCACATTAGTATGTATTATTTGAAAAGAGATGAATATGTCATATTAGCATGTATTATTATGTTTATTTAGGTTTTATATATTTACTTTTTGAACAAACAACAACAACCTTGATACTAAAGCCCAACCCCAATTCTACCCCTTAGCCCTTCCCCTTACCCCTACCCCTCGTTTTGCACATGCCCGTGAAGGGGTAGTGGTGTCCCAATTCTCTTTAGCTTGAAGGCATAGGGCTAAGGGCTAAGGGCAAGGGGTATACACCCCTTCAAACAAAGATTTTTCAGGACCACACTCTAAACCAAGGGGTAGGAAAAATTTTCTAGAATACACTAGCTCCAGTTGCACCCTGAAGTAAGGAGTTCCACTAATTAGTATTTTTTGTCATTATTACAAATTTTTACAAGAAACAAACACGTTTTAATATATTCATAACCGTGTTCGTGTTTTACTGCCATGCTTTAAAAAAAAATGCTAAAATAAAAAACGCTAAATTTCGCAATTTATAATCCCTAATAATATATTATTAGATTAGGGATTATAGATCACAATCTATAACTTCTGTACAGCAGTCCCACAACATTCTGACTCTCGATGACACTGGAATACCCTGTCAGAAAAGTCTAGTGGCTGTGATTGGCCTTTTTACAGTGTCTGTTATAATGTTATAATGTTGTTTTTTGTGTGTTAACATTAATGAATATGGTCACCGTGTAAATGCACAGTACTTTTACGATCTTATTGCCACATTAAATCATTATGAAAACATAATAAATGGCTTCAGTGATTTCCTGAAGATAAATACCAAAAAATAACACAACTGGAATAGCTACAGTATTCGCCATCATCTGAACTCATATGAAGCAAGAGATCGCGAGGAGAGATGATGACGTGTGCAGGTGATGCAGTACTGTCGCAATTCTTAGGGGTAAATTTTAAAGCCCTTACCCATAACCCTGAGTTGCAAGAGCTAAGGGGAAGGGGTAGGGGTACAATAATAGAATTGGGATTGGGCCAAAATGTACAAAATTCCAGTGAAATGTAAATAAATGTTTTATAATAATAATAATAATGTTTAATATAATAGCAATAGTCTATACTCATTTGAGGCATATTTACAACAATTATCATTTTATGAGACAGTAATAGATTCTATTTTGCTAATTTAGTATGATTACTACTTATTTTTTATATTTTAATAAATGAAGGTCAGTATAAGTTTGTTGTTTTTACCAAAATATATCTGTTATGCTGAATCATGATGCTAATTGAACATGATTTCACTCAGAGTTTGACATTTTACTTTCACAAATTTTGCTGCAAATTCTATCATTTGCTGCAACACTTTTGTAAATGTATTTGTCTACTAACTCTTGTATTTGACCCATATGTAATATTTATTAAAAAATATATATATATTGAATGAATAAGCATATGTTATATTAGTATTAATTTGCATGCATTTATTTTCATGTACACTTTGGTGCTTAGTATTCTAAAAAAAAAAAAAAAAAAAAAGATATCATCATACCTTTATATAATATTTATTTTACAAAATAAAATCTAGAGAAATGTAGTAATGTCTAGTGGCTTCCTATTTTTTTCCATAGAGATTGTAAAATATATAATCTATTACTAATGTCCCCTTTCATACTTTACCTAAAATAATTCTCTAATAATCTCTAGTAATAACTATATAGACCAGGGGTCTCAAACTCAATTTACCTGGGGGCCGCAGGAGGCAAAGTCTGGGTGAGGCTGGGCCGCATAAGGGATTTCACAAAAAAAAAGTCCTCTAATGTCATTATTAACAGTTTTAATTATTTCTTCTGAACATGAAGTGTCCTGAACATTAATAGAACATTGAGTGAAGATTATGAACAGTTCTTCTGAACATGGCATCTTTTGCCTACTTCTTGCTGCCAGAGACTTGACAGCGCTTCTTCTCACAAATCTGAACCACATTTGGCTTTAAAGCGGAAGCAGATGAGACCCTCAGTATGGCTTGAAGATGATCATCATTAAGTCTAGACCTGTACTTTGACTTATTGAAGTCCTAGGGAAAAAAGTGGGGGAACTTACTCAAAACTTCCATTCCCTCACCTAAAAAAAAGGCGTATATGTGTATAAATAAAACACCCCCACCCCACTCCAGTCACATCAGTCTGTACCAGTCTGTATCTACCTATAATATCAACACAGGGCAGGCACGTGCACACATAGGGCTCAACCTGTGCAGAGCACATGCCCTTTTTAGATTTGCATAGAAAGTGTGCTTCCAAAATGATCCAAAGTGCCCCCGCGACGCGACACACCCTCGGTCCCGCCCTTCAGTAGGCGCGCGATAACACCGCTCTTGAGTACGCGCGCGACAACACAGCTGATCAGAACGCGCGCGACAACGCGCATTGAGTGACAAGCGCACTGTGTATGGATAGAATCAGCGGAGCGGGGAGCACTGAGGGCCGCAAATGGCCCGCGGGCCGCGAGTTTGAGACCCCTGATATAGACTCTTATAATAACCCATTTCTCTTCTCTTAAGGCATTAATTGGCAATAGGGCGGCACAACCTGTTTCTAACATGAGATCAGCAAAAACATAACAAACCACAACCATCCAATCAATTCCTGGGTAGGGTTGCACCATGCAGCTGTTAGTAAGTTCTTTCTTAAAGTGCCATGTAAAGTCCTCACTAGGGGTTTAGAACTGCTAGCTAGTTTGTAACTAAATTTGTTTCTCACTTCGGTTGAACCACATGTTCTAAAGGCAAACCGTAGTTAGTAGGTTGTAAACTCATAAATCATACGCAGTCGCATTTGAATGACGTAATATCCAATAAAACGCATTTATATCAAGAAACTGCTAAACATTTCTGCAACAAATGCATCTATATATAACTGTCATATAAAAATAAAATGACATTTTTATAGTACATTCATTTATAGTCGGTCACTACTAGTTATCAAAACATTAAACCTGATTTTTTTTTATCTCACATATGAAAGAGAAAAGAGCAGGAAGAAAAACTCAGTCATTAAGAAATTCTCCTTTTAATTGATAGATACAGTTAACACAAAACACTCATTGATAGAAAATTAATCTCTTCTTTCACAAACCAAAAATAATGCGAGATTTGGGAGGAAAATAAGGCTGTGAGTAGAAGGAGATCATTCTTCATTATGATCGCCAGGTCCTCAATGTAAACTACTCTCGCTGTCATCACTTTTCTAACGTTATACATGGGGGGAGGCTGCCATAAATATTTAGTTGGAGTGTTACGTTTAAACTAAGCTCAGTGGTGAAACACAAAAATATTTAGTAGTGTGTGAGTTTTAACTTAGTGTCCCTTTAATTCACAACTAGGCTATGTTTTAACTTACACACTGCCAGCCCCAGATGATTAAAATAAAGTTCCACTTTTTCCTTATTTCAGATAGCATTTCACTCATATTTGTGAAAAGACTGTCGTAATTTTCATTTCAAGCTGACTTAAAATAAACTGAATACACTACCTGAAGATGTAGGCCGACTCCAAGAGTATTTCCAAAGCGGGTAGTGTTGACTCTGGAGGGCTGAAAGAGTAAACAAAACACACTGCTTTTTAGGAAGAACCTGAATCTGCAACTGAGTGTTAAGAGCAAACAAACGGCATATGAAAGCTGACCGCTACCTTTGGTGGAGGTTCACTAATGTTAATCTTGGGCTCCAGAGTCCGGATGTTACGAGCCTTGTCTCGCTCTCTCTCAGCTTCCAACTCCTTCTCCATTTGGTGAACATCACTGTTAGCAAGTCAGTAAATGAATGTCAAAACAATGGTAAAACAAGAATAAAACATGTCAGTCAGTGCTGTGTTTTCATCGTTATAATTCAAAGACAAACAATGACACCAATTTGCAAATAACTCACAAAAATCAGCTTGAAATAAACTGATGAAGTTTACTTAAATAGAAATAATCAAATTTAAAGAATGTGGTAATACGGAAAAAAAAGCGAACACTACATGGAAACCTTTTCTGCATAAAAAAAAAACATTTAAAAAATGTGTACATATTTTTAGTTGTATTTTTTTCTTAGTTTCCTTTTATTATTTTGTTCGTTTTTAATTTGTTTTTGTTTTTAATGTAGTTTTTGGCTGTAGAATTCTTTAAATTAGATTATATTAGTAAATTTATAAGAGTAAATGAGTTTATATGAGTGAAAAGAGTAAGAAAAATGTAAAAAATATTTCTGTATATAGATTGGAACAGATCATGTCTTCTTGTTTCTTCAAAAAAATGTTTTGTCTCTCTGATTGACAAACATCAATAAGAACAGAGCTAAACTAATAAACAGACAGTGGGTTAATGTGTTTATATGCTGGGTAAAACTAGTGTAATGCTAAAAATCAGCGATCAATGTATGATTAAGCCAATTACCCCGAAGAAAAACAAGTGGAAAACCAAGTCCCTTGTCAGCTTTGGAAGTATAATCAGGTTAAAAGTGTGCATGTAAACCTTGTTTGAATTAAGTCATCTACTATGGGTCAGAAACCTGATATTGCAGGCTAGTTCAGTGAAGGTGGGTCTCTCGCGCGGGTCGTAGCTCCAGCAGCGGGTCATGAGCGAATACAGGGCAGGAGGGCACTGCTCAGGTTTGGGCAGCCTGTTGCCCTGTTCCAGTTGGTTTATCACATCACGGTTGTCCAGCCAGTGAAACGGCTGTTTACCTCGATTCATAATCTCCCAAACACACACAGCTGGATGACAGCAAAACAAAAGAGGATCAAATGAGCATGATGGGGAATGACAAACGTTTGCAAATGTATTATTTGGTGTATAAAGTTTAAATATGCATGTGTACAGATTTGATCCTATAGTATCCATATCATCTGGACACACTTTTTGTTTGTTATTGTTGTGAAAGAAGGTTAACAGATCTCTAACAGACATCCAAACATAGAAGACTTGGCTGAAATAAGACTAAATTTGGGCTGTCAGTGAAAATCTGTTTAAGAATAGCCCAAAATAAAGTAGTCATTAAAAATTTAATAAATAATGATTACACATGTGATGTCTGTCTAATCTGTGCATTTGATGACTAGTCAAGCTTTGGGCTAATCTTAGACATCCATTAGATTTTCACTGAGAGCCCAAAATTAGCTTTGTTTTAGCTAAGACATACAGTATATGTTTGGGTAGACACATTTGTAAATAGAAATTACAGTATCTTCGATCAAATGTAGAATAATTTCAGCACAAATATCATTTATATACACCTTATATCTATACTTTGTATAAATGAGGCACATGTATAGGAAAAATGACACGATTCTGTAAAGTTAACAAAAAGTTCAGGAAAAGTAAACATTAACATTCTCTCAGAATAAAACCAGATTTATGATGTGAGACTTTTCGAACCACAGTGTGTAAACAAACTTAAAAAATGCTCTGTGTATTGAACATGCATTACCCTACATCACAGTAGATAAATTCAGTTCCTGGAGGATCGCAGCTCAGCACAGTTTAGCTTTAACCCTAATTAACACACCTGATCAAACTAATTGAGTCCTTCAGGCTTGTTTTAACCTCCAGGTTAATCTGCGGTCACACTAGAGTTTAAGCTTGCGAAATTCTGTCATAGGGCGCTGCGAAATAGGGTGGGATTAAACAAGCTGATTAGACCTTTAAAAAAGCAAGCGATTGCTCCGTATTTAAAATTTCTGTACAGAGAGGTCATGTTTTGTTCTTCGATTGGTCTCACGCAGTCAAGTGATGTGATTTTGCAGGTTAGAGTTCACCAAGCTTAAACTTTCCAACACAGCGATCTGCGAAACTTGACGCGTGAACTTGCGTTTCTGGTCTGCTGCATTCGCGTGCTTTTGAATGGAAGTCTATGGGAAGAATAGTGCAGCGTGACCACAGCTTAAGTGTGTTGAAGCAGGGTTGGAAATTTTGTTGTCAGTTTTAGTTATTTTTTATATGTTATAAATGAATATTTTTGCTAAATATGCAATAGATCGTTTGGATATTAATTTCAAAACAATCGAAAAATCTACTGAGAAAAAAGGAAAGCCAAAAGTTGTGTTGTCTGTGCTGGGATTATCTTTTGTGCTCTTTCTTCTCACTTCAGTACTGATGAGGGAGAATCCGCACTCTTCCGTGAATCCATCCGTCAGAAAGAGTGAGAAAGCTCATGATTCACAAAACATGACAGATGAGCTCCAGAAACAGACTGCTCTCTGTTCGTCTAGTCATGTGTTATATGAAGGGCTTAACTAATAGAAAAATAACCTGTTGATTTGCCAAGATCTGCTTTAAGGAAGATATCAGTTAATAGAAGGTGAATATAAATGAAAGACTGAAAAAAATGTTACAGTTTTGTCTATATCAGAATGTTTCTTGAACAGTTTTACCAAGGCATTGGTTTAAAATGAACTTGCAAGCACTGAAAAGTTGTGAAGGAAATGAAAGTCAGTTATTGTATGATAATTTGTATAAATTAAGTTTAATAATGGCCCTGGAGCGCTGAATAATGTTTGTAGGTAAAGCATGCCAAAACAGGAAATTGGATTCATAAAAATGAATTATGTGCCCACTGAGAAATTTATGATGACTAATAAAAAGCCATGGAGGCAATTTTAGAAATAATGGCTTCTAAACACCTTTCAGACTTAAAGTATGAATATTTATACTAAAAATGCTTGTGTTTGTCAGCCAAAAGAGTGAATGTCATTCTAAAATGGTTATAATTCTATTGGTATAATGACCATGTGTTAAAATTTGAGGATTTTCTTCTATTCACTCACCAAACATCCACACATCACTTGCCGCAGTGAAGCGTCTGAAGTTAATGGATTCAGGAGCCATCCATTTGATTGGTAAACGAGTAACAGATGCTGCAGACATAATGCAAGGTAATAAGAAAATTCAATGCTTGCTAAACAAAAAATAAACACAACAAAGAATACTTTAGAAGATTTATATAACGTGGTGTTAGTGGAGATTAGGCTATTGTAAAAATAGCATGAGATCAGGGGGTTAAATGATCAATCATGAAATGATATGTTTTCACAAGTATTATGAGAGTGTAAAAACAGCTGAGATTACCTTTGTAATATTCTTCATCCTCTATGTATCTGGAAAGACCGAAGTCACCCAGCTTCACACACTCCGGTGTGGCAACAAGCACATTTCGCACAGCGATGTCTCTGTTAAAAGAATCACACAAAACAAATATGAAAACATCTAACATGGATCATGCAAAAATATATTAATTTGTTTGTAATTCAGCGGCCCACAGGCCATCTAAGACGTAAAAATATTGATGATTTTTAGCTTAAACTATAGACCTTAATCATTCATATATAGTATTATACACTCACCGGCCACTTAATTAGGTTCACCTTACTAATACCGGGTTGGACCCCCATTGCCTTCAGAACTGCCTTAATCATTCGTGGCAGATATTCATCAAGGTAACGGAAATATTTTGCTCCATATTGACATGATAGCATTATGCAGTTGCTGCAGATTTGTCGGCTGCACATTCATGATGTGAATCTCCCATTCCACCTCATACCAAAGGTGCTTTATTTAATTGAGTTCTGGTGACTGTGGAGGCCATTTAAGTACAGTGAACTCATTGTCATGTTCAAGAAACCAGTCTGAGATGATTCACACTTTATGACATGGCACATAATCCTGCTGGAAGTAGCCATCATGGGTACACTGTGGTCATAAAGGGATGAAAATGGTCGGCAACAATACTCAGGTAGGCTGTCTTAACACGATGCTCAATTGGTACTAATGGGCCTAAAGTGTGCCAAGAAAATATCTCCTACACCATTACACAACCACCACCAGCCTGAACAGTTGATACAAGGCATGATGGATCCATGCTTTCATGTTGTTGATGCCAAATTCTGAGCCTACCATCTGAATGTTACAGCAGAAATCAAGACTCATCAGACCAGGCAACGTTTTTCTAATCTTCTAATTGTCCAATTTTGGTGAAACTGTGTGAATTGTTGGCTCACAACTTTCCTGTTCGTAGCTCACAGGAGTGGCACCCGGTGGGTCTTCTGCTGCAGTAGCCCATTCACCTCAAGGTTTGACATGGTGTGCATTCAGAGATGCTCTTTTGCATAGCTCAGTTGTAACTAATGGTTATTTGAGTTACTGTTGTCTTTCTATCAGCGCAACGCAGTTTGCCCATTTTCCTCTGTTGTCTGGCATCAGCAAGGCATTTGTGCCCACAGAACTGCCGCTCGCTGGATATGTTCTTTTTTGTGGACCATTCTCTGTAAACGCTAGAGGTGACTGTGTGTAAAAATCTCAGTAGATCAGCAGTTTCGAAAATACTCAGAACAGCTCGAATGGCACTAACAACCATGCCATGTTCAAAGTCACTTAAATCACCTTTCTTCCTCATTATGATGCTCGGTTTGAACTGCAGCTGATCTTCTTGATCATGTCTACATGCCTAAATGCATTGAGTTCTTGCCATGTCATTGGCTAATTAGAAATGTGCATTAAAGTAATAAATAAAGTGGCCAGTGAATGTATATCAGACAGTAAACTTGTGAGTCCAGTTTAAAACTATGATTAGTTCACAAATTGAACATCACCTACAGTAGGACTGTTGGCCTGAGGCTGTATTAAGGGTAAATGAGGTTCAGTTTCTTGGAAAGAACAACAGTTTTGCTTTATCAGACCATGATGTATCAGCAGGAACCATAAGTATTTGTTTAGTTTTGTCTGTATATGCTTTTTTTTACTCTCAAAGTTTTGGTAACTGTTGACCTGCATATTATGAATCACCAAGGTCCACTGTTTCAGCTAGAATCATCCTTCATATTCTCCTGGAGACAAATATTTACCAAACAAACCAAGAGAACCACACTAATAAAAAGAGAGGACCCCTACAAAAGTACTAAATTCCTATATTTTTTAGATCTTATATAATATTGTTCCTTTGAACTAAGTTTAAATTGTAAAGAATTTTGTTTATTTTCTTGTGTGATCACAGAGTGATTTCCCAAAATAATAGTTGTGCATTGCAAAAACAGTAAAAAGAAAAAAAGGAGTGGTCAGTACGATTTAGTACTTTAGTACTAAATTTAGTACTTTAATACTTTTCATACTTTAGCAAATATGTATTAAATTGTACAGAAACTACACTCAAGATATGTATGATATTCTATGATAGGTATTTTTAATATATACTGTTCTTTTAAATTTACTTTCAGGGTGCTTCCACACCAGTGATTCGATTCAGTTGTTCCGAAACAGAGATTACAATTGTTACATTGTTGCTCTTTGCTCTTGGAGTGGTTCGCTTTCACACTGCAAAGTTTCTAATCGGACCAAAAGACCTAAAACAAGTCACGTGCGAGTAAACTCTCCTTACATTGGTCAGAGTGTCAGGGTTTATTTTGCAGCGTCCCGCTAAGCTGTCAGGAGAGGTGGTGGTTTGGTGGTGATTGACAGGGTGCGCGCGCGATGTGTCTGAGGAGAGATGCGGTGGGGAGGGGTGAGAAGGGTGCGCGATGATGCCTATTTGAGGACCGGGAGAAGACGCGAGATTACCGAGAGATCATCACTCGTTTGTTTGCATCCGGAGACTCACGAAACTTCCGCCATACTCATAATTCTCTCTTCATATAGCCGTAAGCCTATTACATATCCATAAAACACTGTGATATAACCGCGCTCGGATCGGATCGCTTTCTCACTGCAATCAAACCGCCCCAGGGTTCGTTTCAATCTAGCCGAGACCACCTCATTCAAGCGATCTCGGAGCGATTAATTTGGTGCGGAACAGAGCGCGATTGCCCTGTTCACATATGCCAAACGTTCCGAGACACATTCCGAAACAATAGTGTAGGTGTGAAAGCACCCTAAAAGAAAAATGTATTAAGCTTTTTTATGCTTAGCTATAACAATGAATTACATTTTAAATATAGCAAAGTTGACACTTTTAAAGTTTAATAATTTTGTCAATATTACTGATAAATAAAGCCTTGATAAACAAAGTTCTGCCAAAAAACTTAAAATAAAAATCATACTGACCACAAACTTTTTGACAGTAGTGTATACAACATGAAGAACAGAAAACATTCAAGAATACTGAATTGAGTGTCGCACCGATGAACCATGTTCATTCCCTGTAGGTAAACCAATGCTTTGCAGAGCTGTAGGCTAAAGAGAACCAGAGTCACGCTGGTTAAACTCTGCTGATTTTTCGTCAAGTACTTCCCCAGCTGCAAGCACAAAATAAATATTTTTAGATGATGATTAGTAAAGCAAAATAAAATGTCTGCTTTGTTAAGGTCTAATATTACTCACAGTGACATATAGGAATACAGGCTTTCTTGTGTCCTGAATTGCATTTTTAGCTGCTCTAATGGTTTAAATCACAGCCATGCTGAGAGCTCAGGCTGGTCATTTTGACAAGACTCTATTTTGTTGATTCATGCAATATTCAAACTCCTGTGAGTTTGTAAACAGTTTATGAGGGTTTTACAGGGACCATAAATGTTAACCGAGCCATATCTACGGCATTCACTTAATTGAGCCTGCTTCATCAATCACAGTCTTCCCAGCAAATGGAATTAGACTATAGATTGAATGGGAATTTTATTGATTTCATTTTAAAGTTACGTAAACCCCTCTATTTCATCAAATAAATTACCATACATCCCAAAATAATCACTCATAGTGACAAGATTATGGGTCTTGCAATTTTCCAAAAGCTGTGTTTTGACATTTGATAAAACAGTAAATATTAGCTATAAATACATATTATTTACAACTACAATCATGTGATTGTGCATGTGTTTTTAAAAGTCTGTATGTCTGTGTGTGTCTGTGCATATATGAAAAAGAAATAATGAAGCACCAGATCCAATAATAAAAAGACAGTGAAAAGTGGAAGGCAGAGTTCCCTAACAGAGTGATAAGATCCAAAATAAGAGTTATTGTTTTAAGTACCTCCCCTTGTTGACAGAGCTCCATCACGATCCATACAGGGTCTTCCTCAATGACTCCTATCAGCCGCACTATGTGTGGATGGTCCAGGTTCTTCATGATAACTAGACAGGTGTGATGATATAAAGTAAATAAGAATGTGGTGCAAAAAGTCACTAGCCTGTTATTTCCTCCACAGGACTGAAGGACACACACATTTATCACACATTGACCAAGCAAAATAAAATATTCCAAAAAGCCAGGTATTAATAAGTCTTATCAATTATTTTGAGTTTTCATACAGGTACCTGCTTCACCCACAAACTTCTCTCTGATGTCAGGCGCACACTCTTTACAAGTCTTCACCGCAACATTGACCTTTTCTCCATTCTAACCAGGAACATTGTAAAAGAATAAATCTATTAAAGTGTATAAATCTATAAAAAAACATTTGTAATCAGAATAGCTGAGTTAAGTCAATAATGATTGGATTTGCTAACAACATTAAGTTCAATGCAAGAGGAAAAATCTAGACTCTACCAACAAAAACATTAGTTGTCAGTTGCATCATAACATGAATAAAGTGTCTGGATGCCTTGCCTTTTTTTGGTAAACTCCTTCATGAACCTCCCCGAAGAACCCTTCACCCAGCATCCGTTTCAGGCTAATATCTTTCCTGGACAGTCCAACCTTTGCTATTGTGAAACATATGAAAAACCATGAGAGGATTTAGACATCAGTAAAAAAAAAAAAAAACAGTGCACTTCAATGTGAATATGTAAAGTATAGGAACAATTCCTGTACATACCAGGTGGGGGCGGTTTTTCATCTGGGATTTCACAGTATATATCAGAGTCTAATAGAAAGAGTTGATGTTATACATATTGTGAGTAACTATAACAATTCAGTAAATATCAAGCTAAGTTCTAATAAGGTCTGATACTCACTGCTATATCTGAAGCTGTCTGTCTTCTTCCTGTCAACAGGAAAGAGCAAACATTCGATAGGTCATCTTATAAACTAAAGTATCATTTCTTTCTTTTTTATTTTAAACAATAACATAAACAGAATAATAAGAGACAAAAAAAGGCTACAAAGGCAATTTCAAAATACACAAATAGTCAGACATAACATAATACAATATCATCCAGAAAGCATAAGAGAAATAAATAGAATTAAATACAAATAATAATAATTTACAGAGAAATGTAGTATCATTTCTTAACGCCATGACCTTGCAGAAGCTTAAACATGCCATGTGACAAATTACTTAATTGGCTCTTGAGTATTAATCAAGCATTGAGGTTCAATGAGCTGCAAAAACTTAATTAAATTATAGTTTACCCTAAAGTTTAAATTTACTTTCAATTCACTCACCCTCAATTGGTTTCTACTTCTATGTAATAAGGTATTTTGAAGAATGTTTAAAACTAGTAGGATAAAAGATACTGTGGAAATTACAATATGGATACATCAGTTCCCAACATTCTTCAAAATATCTTCTGTTGTGTTCAACAAAAATAAAAAACTCATAAAGGTTTAGAATCAATTATCCAAGAATCTATTCATCACATAAAGTGATCATGTCTCTTCACACTGTTAACCCAGCTGTTGTCATTACTGAAGTTGACATTCCTTAAAATACCAAGTTTTGTCATCAAAACTTAAACAGGTGTGTTTAACTTACCTATTAGTAGGCCCAGAACTTAACTATCAGTAGGCCCACAAATAAAATTTACATTGTAAACATTAAATACAAGTTAAAAATGTATTACTTTTTATTTCCAATATTAAGGTTTTAGTTGTGATACTTCAAAATCATTCCGCAAAAATCCACAATTTTTTTGCAAAACAATATTCTGCACAATTTGTGCAGAAATAGCATAAAATGTCCACAAATTCTGTCTGGCCCTACTTATTAGTCAGCAAAAAACTTTTAATTAATATTTTAAGTTCTTTAAACTTAACATTTTAATTTCTTTAAACAATTCACCATGTCTCTGTTTAAAATGATTGGTTGCGCATGAAATTCTGACAACCGCGCTGATTGGTCAATATATGTTATAAGACACAAGGTCTTCATTTTGCTTGTGATGCTGAATTTTGCTGAAGTGCAGCAGGACAGAGGCACTACCTACCCCATATGACGAAAGTGAAAAGTTAAATTAGTAAGTAGATATATTAATGCTTATACATTTCTCTTAATTGATATACAAACAGGGGCGACACGGTGGCTCAGTGGGTATTGATGTCGCCTCACAGCAAGAAGGTAGCTGGTTCAAGTCCCAGCTGGGTCAGTTGGCGTTTCTGTGGAGTTTGCATGTTCTTCCTCTGTTGGTGTGGGTTTCCTCCAGTTGCTTTGATTTCCCCCACGAGTCCAAAGACATGCGCTATAGGTGAATTGGGTAAGCTGTCCCTAGTGTATGTGTGTACAGTATGTCCTGGTCTTCCAGGTTGGGGTTAACTTAAAATGGCTAAAAGACTAAACTTCCAAATTTAATTTAAATATTAATTTAAATGTTTAAGTACAGAGACCACATTTGGTGAACTTAATTAAGTTGTCGATTTCCCATTACTCAAACGAACTGAGGAATCACTTTCCTCTGATCGTTTGAGTAGTCCCAACTTATTTGGGTTTACAGTGCAGAAGAACTTATTTATTTGTTTATTTTGGACATTTGGAAAATCAGTGTTTTTTGTTAATATAATGAGACTTTAAATTGAAAAAACTAAAATACATTTCTGAGAATGAAAAAGTTTGACAGAATTGTTATTCTGTGCTAAACTAACACTTCAGATATCAGCTACAATGTTTAAGATTCACATCCTATATTATAGATCACTGCAGAGTTACAGTCATTAATATTTATTTTGTGTTGTTATCGTGAGGCGAAGAAACACAGATAGAGGAATGCTGATGTACTCACCCGGAGGGAATTTCAGGAAGAGAGTTGCGCAACTGCACACCTAAGACGAGCAATGATAAATCTCAGCTTCCAACAGAGAAATACAGCCAAAACCACAGGCACCATAACAAAAGGCATGATTCAAAAGGCACAACAATCAATGCACATGAACAAAGCTGCCATAAACTCATAAATTATCAGATCAACTGTAAAACTTCCAGCAGTTTATCTCAGATTTTTCTATCTGAGAAACTTTAGGCAATGAATTAAGTTCAACGCTTCAGAAACAAGCTCACACAAGTTCAGACTCTTTTAATTGACACTGTATGAGACAGCTATTGGCATTCGCAGACATACATTAATTGGGTTTACCTTGAGATTTATTTTTATTTGGTCCAGCTATCACTGATGAGTCTGTGTGATTAAACAGTCGACAGTAGCCATCAATCAGATCCGCCATGTTCTCCGCAATGGTCAGAGATGCCACGCTGACAGACAGAGGCTAGGAATGGAGAAAAGGTCACGGCTAGTTTAGTATATGAATGCCATTGAGCATACTGCATAGGGATGGTTCCACAATCAGGGCTTAGGTTAAGCCAGGACTAGGCCTTCACTGAACTTGAAAATGTACACATATTACTGGTGCGTATCTGAAACTTTATTATGGCACACTGATGCATTTTTTGTTTATGCCACTACAAGTTTTTTTTAGTTAGAACAGCTCATACTTAATTTAGCATAGGACTAGCGTTAAGCCTTGTCTTGAAAACTAATGGATAAAGTTTATCAAAATGTCCAAGTGAGAAAGCACTTGCCTGTTTTGCACCGTCGATTTCAATAAATAACAATGTTCTGCCATCATTCTGTGCATTGTACTTGATACTTCGGATTTGTTTGTATTCAGCAAGGCAGAGAGCCTGGGGAATATAAAACAGTATTAACTTGAAGTAACATTTGGATGTCGATTGACTGTAATAAAGAATATTAAGTAGCTCACCGTGGAGTCTGCTTTGGTTCTCTGACGAATGCCTTTAGGACCAATGACTAAATCCACTGCTAAACTCCAACCTTGCTGTGTGGATTAAAGGGATATTTAACCCATGATCCTTCCTTTGTGATTTATAAAATGCAAGTAAATGGCTATATACACTTTTGAGAGTGAAAAAAAAAAACAATTAAAGGGACAGTTCCTCCAAAAATGAAACATCATCATTCTCATCATCACTTGTTCAAAGTTATTTTGAAGAATGCTGGTTGATGACACCCCTTGACTTCCAGATTTTTTTTACTTACTATGGAAGTCAATGAGTGCCATCAACCAGAAAACATCTTCAAAATATCTTCTTTTGTGTTCAACAAGACAATCTAATAAAGGTTTGACACCATATGATCGGGGGTCAATCATTTTACATTTTGGATAACCTTTCCCTTTAACACTCTTGGTCCATGGGCAAAACAACATTAACACTCTGCCTGTGCAAGGATCTGAGCATTATCTTTAATACAGGCAATAATTGTTTAATTCACCTCATAAGACCCCAATGTATCATCAGCATCTACACATATTGATTTTGTTTTCCCTGTACATCTTTATGGACTAATAATGCAAGCAATTATTGGCTTGTATTACGAACTACGAGGGTGAGAAAATTAAAAGCAAATTGACCTTTCATAATGAAAGGTTTATTACATATTCCCATAATTTTTTATATCAAAGTTAGGAAACTTACCACTAGCTCGCAAGGGAATATTTCCTCATCGAAGTTGGAGAACTCTCCATAGGTCTCAAAGAACTTAACCATACAGTCATCCTCTTTTAGTATGGCATACTGCTGAAATGTCTGTTGTATGAGTTTTCTGAGCTGCCTTTGCTGTTGAAAGCAAAATGTTACACTTTAGATGTAATTCTATTGTCACCGTGAAACTTTCTTATTTTTCTGTTTGAGCAGGGTTTATTTTGTGGCAGTGGCTGACTAATCCCATCTGATTGATTAACAGGCGATGTGGAAAATGCAGAAGGAATTATGCAATCTAGCTGTTAAAATGGAATTTGACAAAGTTGAATAAATCCAAGCACTGTACACAGGCCCGGATTGGCTAATCGGGAAGACCGGGAGAATTCCCGGTGGGCCGGTCCGTTTTTTGGCCGCGAGGGATGGTGTCCCTAGCTCCAGAATCTGTTGCTCTCAGCAGTCACACTTTTTAAATGTATTTATTTATTTACTTGACCACAGTCTTCTTATTCATTATTTTACTGCAGCTCTACTTTTTTAATCTTTTTTCCTCGCAGCTCAGTGAGCCTGCAGGTTAATGATGATAAAACATCGATGAGTCATAACATCATGAACAGCAGTTGTGGTTCAGTGGATAGCACGTTAATTTACGACATGGCAGACCCGGGTTCGATTCTAGTCTGAGTAGTTTTTTTTTTTTTCATTTTTATTGTTAAGACATATAAGACTGTTACGGTTGTTGAACATTTGAAGTTCTAAAGCAGCTGTTTTCTCAAAAAAAAAGACGTGATAGTGTCATTAGAAACTGATTTGGAAATGACCTTATTTTAATATAGTCAGTCGTGAACTGAGGTGGGCCGGTCTGAGGCTTGAAACTCCATGGCTGAAAAGGAGTCCCACTCCGGCCCTGACTGTACAGTAGCTCTGTACACCTGATTAAAATAATGATATGCACTAGTACTAACAGTCTGCAAAGTCTGCATGTCCTATGTGTCTGTACAGTTTCTTCTACACACATTCTGAAGCACATGATGCTTACGCTGTATTTGACAGCATAATTCCTATAAGGTCATGAACACACTCTTCAGAGCTTACGATCTCCATGAGAGTCATTTTTTTCACCATACATACAGTACATATTGCTGAACCTCAAGTATCTTTTTGACAACTCAGAACATTTAACTTGAAGGAATTATACAGAAAATACACTCAAACTTATTTTTAAATAGTAATAGAATGTAATTCAAGGTGGACTATACTTCACGGTTCATAAACCTAAACATTAAACATTTTTGGTTGAGATAATTGAATTTATTCATTAAAAAAGAATTTAGAACAAAAAATAAAAGCAACAAATATAATTTGGCATACAATAGAATATATTTCATGGGTTTCTAGAATTCAGAAAGCACTTGGCATAGCATTTTAACACTTAACACAGTTTACAACTTCAGTTTTCAACTGACATCACAGGAAAGCAAAAAACAAAACTAACCTTCATACTGTCAATGAGTCCTTTGGGAAAGAACAGGTCAAGACCAACGTCTTTTCTAAAAAAAAAAAAAAAAAAAAACAATATACCACCAATCATTCTTGAGAATTACTTTTGCACACATAAAAAAAAATGTTCGGAAAAATATTTATGGTAAAAATAGCTATGAAAATAAACTTGAATTGAATATAAACTTACTCGAGCAGGTCAAAATTGGACTTTTTCTCTAGACCTTTGGCATTCATGTCTTTATAAAATCTCCTGAAAGACAGAACAAATGACAGAGCTCTGAAATTACTTACTTTATAATAATAAAATCAGCAACAATAAAAGCAAACAGAGTCTACTGTTCTTCACCTGATTTCCAAACAGCCCAACTGTAGAGCCATGCCGTCACTAACTTTGCTAGCATGATGCTGCATGTAGTCACTGCGCACCTGCAATAAGATGAAGTTTTCATTTAAATTTTCTAGATACAATCACAGACAGAAAGCAAATCTGCAGATATTTGCTGACCTGTTGATAGAAATACAACAGGAACGTTCTGTCTTCTCTTAACCTCTTCATATAATCAATGGGAATGTAGCGGATTCTGAGGTCATACCTGTAAGAAATGTACATATAAAATTCTGAATATTTTTGATGTCAAATAAATCAGTCAATCAGTGTTTAAAACTTTTTTCAGGTTAAGGTGCTTTAAGCATTTGTAGCAGAAGTTGCTAAATGAAGTTTATTATTAAACAAATTTCGAGAGGTGCACATGCTCATGATTGACCCAGCTGGCCCACATTAGCTAATCATAATCCTTTAATGAAAGGATCCCAAGTCAATATGCATTCTTCAGCAGTCTTGCGTCCTCGTGTTCTCATGCAACATTATCATCAGCTGCCTAAGTTCAGTTATAATACTCAAAACCGCAAGTACGGAGGACGCGTGAAACTTCCCGGATGTGATCTTGATATCGAGGACGCACCAATGCAGACTTGAGCACTGAACTCACTCTGGAAGGCCCAGAAGTCATTGCGACTGGAGGTGGGAAGCACAGCATTTTATTTAGACTTATTATTAAAGTTCAGAGATATAACTTATTTATCTTAGGAGTTTACTTGAATTACTATGAACATCTTAATAAAGGAATAATCACATTAAGTGTGTTTGTTTGCTAAAATTCGTATTAAAATCCGTTTTACTTATATTGTGCTGAGTATATTTATAATGTTTTTATGCAGAGTATATATTTTGAAAAGGTGAAAAACTGTAAATTGTTGTATGAATGCTGCATTGTTTAAATAATTTGCCATTTAAAACACGCGAAGGTCATGTGACCATCAGGAAGAACGCAGCATCTCATTTCTCAAAGCACGCGTGCTCTGCCCTTGCAGTCTCCTGAGTTCGTTCTTCCGAGGATACCTGGCAAGACCGGTCTCCAGAGGGACACAAGTCCGTTCTCTGTGTTCTTGGAATTGAGAAACAGCCAACATATATATCCTGATTTTCGTTCTACATCTGTCTTCGTCAGGAAGAACCCCCCCTCCTCCCTTTAGTTTACCTTTCTTTAGAATGGGCGGCACGGTGGCCCAGTGACTAGCACTGTTGCCTCACAGTCAGCAAGAATACCAATGACGTCGGGTTCTCGCTGGGCCATCTGGTATTTCTGTGCGGAGTTTGCATGTTCTCCCCGTGTCCGCGTGGGTTTTCCCAGGGTACCTCGGTTTCCTCCCACCATCCAAATATGATCTATATTATAGATAAAATAAGCCTTAATCTTTTTTCTAATGTCTTACACAGAGAAAGTTCACCTTGGCTACAACAGTGGGGGAGTTTGAGATCTACCTGAGCTCAATTTCCCCTTGCCCTGCGAAAGGGGGGAGCCCAAGCCTGAGAATCCTTTGAGCTCGGGGCTCTCTCCCGTGTCAGCCCGCCAAACAAACTATGTATAAATCATGTGCTAAGTGTGAATTTTGAAATGATGTCGTTGTGCAATTGTGTGATTGTGTCATTACGCAACTATGAAGCAAAACTGTAATAGTACAGAAAATATAAATCAAGCAGCCATCTTAGTAAAGCCTCATTTTGCTGCCTTTACTTTAAGAAAATATATAAAGTATATAAAAGTTAAGTAAGATAATAGTAATAGTGTACATTTTTACATATTTAATTAATTTTGAATATACTATATTAAATTAACAAAAAACTAAATGTTTGAAAGATTACGAATTAAGATTTTGTGCTTTTTTTTTTTTTTGCTGTTAACTATTACCAATTAACATTCTGACCAATTACAGCGTAGTGTATACAGGTAGGTACCAATGTAGTTAATATTTGACCAGCTTGTTTTCTACAAAAACTTCTTAAAAAATGGACACTGTATCATATTAATATTTGTCTTGTAATACTGCTATCCTACAGTCCTACGCCTGATAAGTTATAAATGCAAACTAATGCCACTTTGACTCATAAAGTAGCAGTTAAATTTACTTTATGTAATATATCAGCAACTTTCCAAATGAGAAGCGCATTGTTAGTCACCTCTTTTCATCTCACTTTGCCTGATGCACTGTTCAGTAGTTTGCTATTGGGTTGCATTTTCAAGAAAATATCCTTTATTCATCATTTTGACACAAAAAGTTATTATAATATACAAAAGTTGCCAAATATATATTCTAAATAGATTTCAGTTGCTTTATTGTTAGTTATTACTTGAAATAAATATTGCTAATGTAGTCAAAGATGTTGCTAAATCTAGCAACAAAATTGTTGAATGGACAACAGTGGCGTTGTGGTCCCTCACCTCCACTCTGCCTCGGCGTGATGGCTCTCATAGCGCTGCTCCACCTCGCCTACAGTCAGGTCTGGGTGCAGCCAGTGAAGCTCCTCAGATTTGAGGTGTTTGAGCCTCAGGCCAAAGCAGCCCGGGTTCTGCACATTCGGGCCCAAACGCCCACTGATCAGAATAGACTGGATAATAGTCTGATGGGTAAGCAAAATACCATGTGTTCACACAATATAATACAACATTTGGGACAATATTAAAATGGTTTCTGTTCACATTTCTCACTAAATGATAATTATTCTTTTTTCGAGTAAATTTAGTGTTTTATTTATAAACTAATTTCGAGAGTATTGCTTGTGACTGCTTGCAGCCAGCCCTGCATTATTCAATTTTTGATTCACCAATTAGACAATACCTAAGCCACTATGCATCTTCGAAAAATTCCCCCTTCCACCTCTACTCCTCCTTTCCTAGATGGGTGGCACGGTGGCCCAGTGGTTAGCACTTTTGCCTCAACACAAAAACGTCACTGATTCCAGTCCTTACAAAACCAGCCGATGTTTCTGTGCCGAGTTTACACGTTCTCCCCGTGCTCACGTGGGTTTCCCCCACGTTTCCAGGTTTCTCCCACCATCCAAAAACATGCAACTTTAAGCTAATTGATTAATCCAAATCAGCACCATAGACATGCACCTAGTGAGTAGTTATCTCTTAAGATCAATCACTAGCTGTTCATTAGCTACTACAGCAGGGGAGTTCTCAAAATCCACCTGAGCTCAAACTCCCCTCTCGCCTTGCAAACAGGAGGGAATCCCGGGCTCGAGGATCTTATGACAAGCTTTATAATCAATCATCAGTGTAAACAACAAAGTGTGAACTCTTGAAGTCACCTTGGTTACTGACACTTTGAGAGTGAAAAATAACATATGCAGGATAAACAAATCTAATAACCATGGTACCTGGCAACACAATAGCCACGTTTCCACTATAGCGCCTAAAGCGAGCGAGCCAGGGCAAGCCAAGGCCAGTCGCGTTTCCACTGTCACCTCTGGGACCTAATCAGGCCAAAGCGGAGCTTTCTTGGGGCCAGCGGCCAGCCTTTTTCGGCCCGCCGAATACCATGGGCCAAAGAGGGCCAGCTGGGGCTTCGGGGCGGAGTGAAAGAAAAGGCAGGCACAGTTTTCCGATCGCACATAAGTACATGCGCCAAACAAATAAATAAATAAATAAATAAATAAATAAGGGAAAGAAAACATCTAGCTTTATGTGGTCTTTTTGCGTATGATCACCTTTATGTTTCCCTCATAAATGTAAAGGTGTTGCATAAAATAATAAAGTAGTTTTAATTTATAGTGACATTCTTTGCTGCGTCCTTATTACCATATTAAAGACACAGCAGACAGTAAAGGTTTTCGAGAGTTTTTGTTAAGTTTAAAAGGTGTATTTGTGCACGTTTAAATGTCTGTATGTGTGTGTGAGACCGAGAAAAAGAGCACTCCCTTTACAGCTCTGTTGATGCTGCGAGCAGCTTTTTGAATTTTATTTTAGATATAATACACAACATTAATACAACAGAAAGACATAAAACTTAACAAATTACGTGCCCACTTTCGTAGACTTTAAACAATATAGTGTCATATCTTGATAAAATAGCCTAAGCTCTATTGAAGTATAATTTAAAGAATTACAAATATCGGATGTAATAAAATCGCATTAAATAAATAAACCAATATAAAATAAACAAAAGCTAGCTACAACAATTTAGGAAGCCTATATACAATACATAAATCAAACCGTTTTAAAGCCACATATAACTTTCATTTTACAAAGACCTATCTGAAAAAAAAGATTTTAGATATTTTCTAAAAACAATAAACACCGGAGAAGGTTTGAAATATTATTTATAAAGTATTTGGATACAATGATATTAATCAAATCCTGCAAACAGAGCATTTTTGTGTGAGTGAAAGCAGAATCTAGCCTACTTTTTTCTGTCACCCAGTCCTGCGCAGCGCCGCTTTAAACGCATTGGGGAAAAGTCCAAACACAAAATGTGTTCTGTGTCCTCAAACAAGTGTTATACATTTCATACAGAGTTATAACAGAGAATTTCTGTGGCTTTATATTATGGATGGTGCGCTCACTGTGCTGGGTCCCTCCATTAGTGACGAGAGCACTCGATGCACAATGCCAACAGTCGGTCGGTGAGTAAACAAATGTAATGAATGGAAATACACAGGTATGTGCGTATAGACATATAATGTACTGCTGTACAGTAACATGTCATTTGTTTGTTTCGGTTGTCTTCATTTTAATCGTTTCGTGATGATTCCATGGTGTGTTTTATCTGCCTGATTCTGCTGAAGTGATTTCGGCCTCATTACTCACCCTCCCGGGCGATTGGCCCGGCCCGGCCCGATAAAAGCCCTGGCTCGCACTGGCCAAATAGTGGAAATGCGGCTATTGAAGTCTAATGAACTGAAATTATAAGTTTGTGAAACTGAAGAAACTGAACAGTATTTACAACATTATTACCTTTAATAACAGTATAAGCAAATGGCCCTGAGTGGGTTAACAAAAGTCTGAAATGCAAGCTCTTTTGTGGCACATAATGATTAGAGATACAATGAATTGAAAATTCTTGGTCGAAACCGAAAAATAAAAAAAGAGGAAACCAAGGGCGATTAACGAAACCGAAACACTGAAAAAAATAATGGCAGTTACTAGTACCACTGCATTTTTGGCTATGAGTGGTTTAGCTGTTGAGTGGTTAAGCTTGTCATCTGACTTACATGTGAAAAAGATTTGAGAGTGTGTATTTAAATAGGACCAGTGCATAAGTTAACATTTTTGTATATAGTAGCCTAAGTCAGAACAGAATAGTTTACCTATTATAATTTGAGGCACTTTTTTTGCAAGATTTCACTGAACATAATAGACATAATGCTCATTATGTGGATCATTTTATGTGCACGCTGTTTTATTTCTGCATCCAAGTAATGATCTTTATATCGCAGATCAAGTACAGTCACAACACAAAAATTTTTATTACTTCATGTCACCTACATCTTGGATCGTCTTACTGTGAATAATTTAGTAGCACATATTGATTTTGTGTGTATAAGAGTTTTTTTTTTCTTTTTTTTTCATTAGAATTCTTCCGAATTCAAAATATAAATGATTCAATGATTTAACTGATGATAATTGTTCAAAATATTAAAAATATGTCAATTATTCATACATGTTTATATTCATTTATGGTTAATACAAAATCAATGTTTTAGGTTCAGAAGAGAAAAGAAATCAATATTTGATGAAATTATCTGAGTCTGAACAAATGAAAAGATTTGCCCTTTTCTAGGAGAAATACTAATAATGTTTATGAATTAAAAAAAATTAAACTAAGGCGGCATTTACACTGCAGTTCTTTATGGTCAATTCCGATATTGTGACTGTATCTGATTTTTTTGATGACCTGCTCACATCATCTTTTAAAAGTGACTCATATCCAGTCGTCTGCATTTACACAGTACACGGCAATGCGCAATGTCCAGGAAGAAAAAAAAAAAAAAAAAGAGCGCTTGGTGACTAACAGCTGATAATTAAAGAGTGCTCTTTACTCTATTCCTGTATGTAATCAGTTCGCAGCTTTTGACAAGCTGTTTTACTATAGTTTAGGACAGAAAGGTTCTCATTTGTTCTTCTTCTTTTGATATATAGGCTTTTTTAAACCATTAGGCATCTTGATGTAATGTCAATGGTGTAATTTATGCACGTGATTTAGTAATGCACTAGATTTATTTTAGTTTATATTAGTTACATGGCAGACATTGCGCACTCTCGCTCTCATTACATGCTTAATATCTGCGCTATATGACAATATAAAAGCTGTTTTAGTCCTTGTGTATGAGATTTGAGCTTTGGAACTCTGCTGAGGTCTGTTCTGAAATGAAAGCGTCTGACTTGACATCATTAGCTTAATTTCGCTATGATTTTTACATTGACAGGTAAAAATCTGATCTACCTGCTTACACTACAGACACGAAAACACAGATCCGATTCATTTCAGATAAATTTTCACATATGAACAAGGCCTGAATCTGATTTGAGTAAATCTGAATCCATGTGTTTTGTTCCTGCTTACATGCACATGGACCATATCCAATCTGTGCCACATGGGAGAAAAAAATCAGAAGTGAGTCACTTGAACAGTGCAGTGTAAATGCGGCCTAATAGTAACATTTAACTCAAACTTATAACTGTGAATTTAGTAAATACACACAAACGTTAAAGTGGTCTCTTTTCATCAGCTGTATATGAGTGTGTTACATTTTCTGTATAAAATGCTTTCTTTTGAGAACATGAAACATCTTGTCAACAGTGAACAGTATGCACACAGTACCTTGATCTGCCATGAGCTGTCACATTTGACCAGTTTGAAGTTCTTGCTAAGGTTGTTGCTGCTACTGAAGCAAACTTTAATGATCTTCACGGGGCCGCCATCTCCAACAGGACCCAGGTCAGGGCTTTTGATGCCCCCATCCCAGTCCTGAGCGGGTACCTTCCAGGAGAGGGTGCTTGCATCACTCGCCATGTCCTAGAAACGTCCTCAAAGAAATCCACACACCATTACACAGTCATCTCATCTGGTAGTTTGGAAAACAAGAACAGGGTTTGGAGTTAGTTTAAGCATTCATGACACATGCTAAAGCTCTTTAACTGTATGTGTGTAGAAGATTCCCATTTTTGAAAACTGCAACCAACAGTGATTTTAAATATATACTGTACAGTGTCTCCTAAAGCAAGCATGATCATTATAAATTTACATTAAATTTTCAATACCTGACAAATGGGTAAACAGTGGTGGTAGTGGTAGGAGAGTGGTACAGTATACATTCATTTATTCATTAGTCTGTTTATTAATCTGGGGTTGCCACAGCAGAATGAATCGCCAACTTATCCAGCATATGTTTTACGCAACGGAAGCCCTTCCAGCCACAACCTAACACTGGAAGGTACAGTATACAGTTTACAGTAAAGCTCTATTACACACTTATCGTTTTGATCCATGAAAAACAATCTGTGATCCTCTTCATTTTTAACCCATATAACACTTTTAAATTAATGAAAACAAATGATTTATTGATTGTTTAAAAAAAAACACTAAAAAATAAAATGTTACATTAATTCTGATTTTCGAAATATTAAATGTAACAGTTCATATTATTAAATGTTTATAGTTTTTTGTACTTTTTTAAAGGCATAATCCACTCAAGTTTTAAGGTGTCATCACTTTTCCGCTTGTTCCAAAACTGTATACGGTAAGTTTCTCTTTTTTTAACTGTTAAACACAAAATAAGATTTTTTGAAAAATGTTGGAGAAGTCATTGACTTCCTTATAGGGCTGGGCAATATGGCAAAAATGCAAAGTCTACATTTTTTTTAACACATTGAAAAATAATGATGAATTTTGACATAAATTGTTATTGCTTCCAGCTTTAAAAGCTATTAACCCAACAATGACTGATGCAACAAAAATTAGAGGATTCAATAAATTACAATATTGTTTATTAGTAGAAACAGATTATACGGTTGGCCTAAAATTAAAACTAATAGTAAAAATCATTTAAAAAGAGTAATCTGACATTATTAGGTAAATTAAATGTGCAAAACATTAACAATATAAATATACAGTACAACTTCCAGCAAGTCTAGACAAATTGTAAAACTTTCAGTTTTTCTTTTTTTATATACTTTTGTAGGTGATTTAATACACTTTTAACCCTTACTGTAGATTATGGTAAATAAGTGTAAAATAGCCAGGGTTTTGCTGTAATAAAAGGAAACAGCATTTTTACTGTAAAAGGAGTAGGATTTGTATGAAATTGTGTAGTGCAAAAAATAAGTTACAGTAATTTACTTTATGTACCCGTTACAGGTGTAACTGCAATAATAAATGGTAAATAAATAAATAAATTACTGTTCAACCATTACTGTCCCATCCACCCTGATGCTTTATGTTTCTATTTATAGAGAAAATAATTTAACTTAAGACAGAACACAATGATTTAGGCATCACCACACACTTCCACAGGATGTCTATATTTTTCTAGACACAAAGTTGTTAGAAAAAGTTTTCAGAAAATGATGGCCCTTTAAGGGAGCCAGGTGTTTGATTTGTTTACTTCTGAGTGTGCTCCATTCTCGGTCTATCAGTTCAGATGCAGACTCAGAGTCTGATATGTTTTAAGTCTTAGATAAAAATCTACGAAAAATCTCTCTATGTTTTTGAGGGTTCCTAATATTAGCTTGTGTATTAAGTTAAATTGTTGTTATCTTGATCTGTGTTCTTGAAAGCTACACTGTTAGCTAGTTAGCCTCTCTTCGTATAACTTCTTACTTTACTTTTATTTAAGTATAATTATTAATTGGATAATGCATATTACCATATTGTACATGCTAACAGTTAAATGTGTCTTTCTGACAACTAAGCAGATTTCATACACATTAAAACCATTCAATTCTAATCTCCTCAGTTAGGTATAAAGTTCACAGAAATCACTGTTGCCAGTTACTTACTGTAACCAAACTATTACAGTGACTAACTGTCAACAGTGTTGCCAATAGTCAACTGTAAAAAAGCCCAGCAAGGTCTAACAGTGTATTTTTTGTCGATAATTTCATCATCTTTGCATAATAACTCTAGGTTAGTTTACTTTCGTTACTGCTTCAACTCATTATTTCTTTATTTCTGTCATCTTGTTGAGTTTCGTAGCAAAGTACGGTAGGAAATGGTCTTTTGACTTCATGCTGATTAGCTGTTGTTGTTGTATATTGCTGCTGTGGGATTGGCTCTTAGATCAATATCCGCCCAATATTGGCCCAGCCCTACTTCCATTTTTTTTTTCTCGTGCCAAAGGCTACCAGTTTCCAAATTTCCACAAAAAAGAAACTCAAAGGTTTGAAACCACATAATGGGGAGTGTGATGAGAAAATGTCAATTTCTAGGCAAACTATCACTTTAATAATGTTAAGTAAGAATTAGATAAGTGCAAAAATATTCTATGCTTATGTACATATAAATGTGTATAAAAAGTAAAAATACTGTGTAAAAATCAATACCTCAGATAATTGATTTCACACCCATACACTGCATATTCTTATTAAATATCATATTATATATATATATATATATATAAACCTTCACATACGTCAATCACTTCCAAAAACATCCTTTTACTGTACATCCACATACAACTGAATAATCCATTAGACTAAAGTATACACTTTGTTTGCTCACAAGCATGTCCTCACACCCATGTGGTTGTATTTTCTGGAAAGCAGAGCTGATACAATATAGATCAGTGATTTGCAGTAGAGTGTCCTGCAGTATCAGTGTTTGACATTAAATCTAAGAACTGCAAGATGCTAGTTTATAGGTTTGTGCATGTATGTGAGCATGTTTCTCTTTTACAGCCCGTCTTGATGTTTTGTTGCCCTGAGGCGATGAATTCCTATAAGGACACATGTCTTTTTTTTAACTCATTCAAGCACGACTGCCATGCTACCTGTATTTGTGTACATGAAACTAAACCAGTTTTGTCCTATGACAATCTTTGTGTGCACTGTTTCTTTACAAAAAAAGTCAAACGAATCATAATCCCTAGTGCTACTGTTCAAAGAACGATGAATGTCAAAAAGGTGTCAATTTTATTTGGTTTTAGGTCTTTGTTTCAACTGAATATTAAACAAAAGTTTCTCAGTAAATTGGACTTTGTTTTTAAAGTTTGTGCTTTTAAATTAGGCCAAAGTAGCAGTGTAGCAACCAGAATGACTGGATTAGTTGTACTGAAATGGTTAATTTAACGGATAACAAGTATGTGGGATTTGACCTCTGGAGGTAATAGTTTTTACAAGCTAACACTAGCTCAGAGCTAAAGAAGACACAGAGAAAACAGATCTAGCACATAGGAAGGGAGAAGCCCAAATGAAAACATTTTCAGTACATAGAAAAAATATATTTTTAAATCTTACTTTAAAAATGCATTTTTTTTAAAAATCAATATGTTTTTCCTATTTTGTTTTTGAATTTTGTATATACAGTTTGTATTGTGTTTTGCTGTATTATATATTTCATATGACCTACAGTATTTTTAACTTGTTGTTTACATAATGAAGCACACTTTCCTAGACTAAAGGCAGAAACCAAGCCCAGGACACTTTAGTGAAATAAAATGTAACATTAATACACTCCTCACAAATCCCAATCAAATGCAGTAAAACATTTTGTATAACTAAATATTTTTCAAATGATGAGTGTTTTATTTAAATACAGTTTTATCTCTTTAACTGACTGCTCTACCAAATGGTTGAACATATTTTGACTGTTTTAAATAATGACTGTAAAAGTCTTTTAAAGAATGACTGTTTTAATAATGGTTTACACACACAGCATTGTTGGTTTACACAGAAATCAAACAAACACAATACTGTTGCACTAATACACTAAATTTTTGTTTTTTTGTAAACAAAAAAAAAAGAAAGCATGAAAAATGAGAATCGGAAATATTTTATGGCATACTTATTTTATGGCATACTTTTTATGGCATTTTTCAAAAAAGTTCATTTTGATTATGATTTTAAATAAATTGGTCTTACACTTCATATTTTCAGGGGGGGGGGGGGGGGGGGGGGGTTCATAGTATATGTTTTAATTCCAGAACTTCCCATAAACCAACATATGATTTTAGTGGAGGTTGACATTTAAGACATTATGGGATGTGTTGAAAAACAATGCATTGAATGTGTTAATTAGCAATATTGGGAGTTAAGAAATGCTAAGTAAAATGGATTTCTTGATGGGGTAGTTAAAGGTTTAAAATATTAGGTAGCTGCTATTTCTTCATTACTCTAGACCTATAGTGTCACAATGCTTTCAGATGTCATTCTCAATCATTAACAATTATTAACTATTAATTAATAATGGTTCTTATACTGTTATGTAAATGTTGAATGTCTTATTCATTCCAAATAGCTGATGGTGAAAAAACAACGATTAAAGACGTGTAAATACAGTAGACAATCTTATTCATTTTAGAATGTAAATTGTTTATATATTTTTATTTCTGAAGTTCTCTAACTAAATGCTGCACTTCCTATAGGCTACTCTTAGCATTAAGTATAATACACCTACCTGCATATGCTGCTAGCCTTTAATTGTAGGTCATAACTGTTTGAAGTTTCCAGAAACTTAATCCTTCTGACAACAAACAGGCCAAATGAAGTATTGCGTTGGGTTAACGCCTATTACAGGTTGAAATACTTAAGAAACTGACAACCAGAAACCCTTTTGAAGACAAAACAAACACCAAACACAGGCGGACAGAACTATCAAATCCTAGAAAGCATGATGCGTGGACAAAATAATAATAATATCTACACGCTCTATGAAGACACTGGAATGCGCGTGCACGTACGAGTACCTGCGCAGACTTGCCCTCCACAACACACCACACACACTATAACATTCACAAATACGTGTTAAACAGTTTTAATAACTAAGTGTTTGTTAATACATTACGACACTCCGGAAATTGTTCCCTAATATACATAGCGTGTGATTATAATGAGCGAACAACTAA